ATCTGCGGCTCTCCCTCGCGCTGATCTGCGGCTCTCCCTCGCGCTGATCTGCCGGCTCTCCCTCGCGCTGATCTGCGGCTCTCCCTCGCGCTGATCTGCGGCTCTCCCTCGCGCTGATCTGCGGCTCTCCCTCGCGCTGATCTGACTTGCTCTGGTCTGCGCGCAACGGCGGGCGGGAAGGGGGGGGGGGGGCGCTTTTGGAAGAGTTGTGCGACACAACGAATCGATGACGCAATTCGTTGCCAACGCTTTTAGTAATCGATTTTCATCGAATTTATCGATTCGTTGTTGCAGCCCTAGTTCTGTCCATTTTATAATAGCCAATACGGACCTGAAAAACAAAGGAGACCGCTAGCTAGGTGATAACTTCTCACATGGACGCACAGTTAGTAAACTTTTTTAAAAGTAAAGCAACCGGAAAGCAGTACATTCTTTATTCTGAAAATCTCGGTAGCTTCTCTCCATTTCCGCGTCCAATTTCCTGTCTTTCCTTCCCCAAAAATGTCGAACTTGACCCGTTTCAGAGGCGTCGCGCGTAGAGAATAGAACCGGCGCGTAACCCCGGGTTTCCACGGGAGCCGTCAGCAGCACGTTACTGCAGCAGCACGTCTTGCTCGCGTAAGCTGCTGCTTGGCCCTTCCCACGAGACGCGAAGCAGCAGGAGAGCAGCTGTCACCGACCGAGCACAAAGTCACACGAGTGACTTCGTCAGTAAACACAACAACAAGCAGGAGAAAATTGCAACATGGTTTGTGTTTTATGTTCTGTCCGTTTTATAATCGCCAATACGGACCCGAAAAACAAAGGAGACCTCTTGCTAGGTGATAACTTCTCACGGGGACGCACAGTTAGTAACCTTTTTTAAAAGTAAAGCAACTGGAAAGCAGTACGTTCTTTATTCTGAAAATCTCGGTAGCTTCTCTCCATTTCCGCGTCCAATTTCCTGTCTTTCCTTCCCCAAAAATGTCGAACTTGACCCGTTTCAGAGGCGTCGCGCGTAGAAAATAGAACCGGCGCGTAAAGGCCGCGACATGCTGCTCCTGAGACGCGGCCGACTCGCGCTGCTGATGGCTGCTGACGGCTCCAGTGGAAAAGGTTCTGTTGACCACAGCGCTTCCTATCAGCAGCTATGACGTGCTGCTGCAGTAATGTGCTGCTGACGGCTCCCGTGGAAAGCCGGGGTCAGTCTTAGAACGCCTGGGTTTTGGTACCAACTTTATCAACTTAATTAAAGGCCTATATGACAACATAAACAGCTGTGTCATCCTACCAAAAAGCACCACCCCTAGATTTAATATTAATGTTGGAATCCCACAAGGTTGCCCAATCTCACCATATCTATTCATTCTGGTTACCGAAATGTTGGCATTGTACTTAAAAAACTGTGATAACATTGCAAAATTAAATGTTCTAGGCACTGATCTAATTATAAGTCAACTTGCAGATGACACCACGCTTTTTTTAAAGGATTCTAAACAAATTTCTATAGCCATCCAAAAGATTCAACTCTTCTCTGAGGCCTCAGGTCTAAACCTAAATCTAAAAAATGTGAACTTCTAGCAATTCACGACACAATGTTAAAAGAAATACATAATTTCCCTATAAAATCTGAGGTTAAATATCTAGGAGTGACCATTAACAAAAACCCTAAACTTAATTCAGTCTTAAACTTTGAAAATAAACTTAAAGAAGGAAATTCTAAACTTAACCTGTGGCTCCAACGTGACCTTTCTATTCTAGGTCGTATCTATCTCACCAAAATGGAATGTCTATCAAGATTAGTTTACCCAACCTGTAACCTTGCCTTACCAAACTACCTAATTAAAAAAATAAATCAAACAAACTTTAACTTTATTTGGAGAAACAAACCACACTACCTTAAAAAGGCTCATATGACTAAAGAAATAAAAGATGGAGGTTTAAAGGCCATTGACTTTGAATGTCTTAATGGCACCCTAAAGATTAACTGGTTAAAATTTTGGTTAAATCACCCAGACGTCTTTTGGTATAGTATCCCCAGTTACATCTTTAACAAAATTGGTGGCTTAAAAATTCTTCTCCTAACTGACTACAATATAAACAAACTCATATTGCACCGAAACAAATCATTATTCTATAGAGATTGGTTAGATAACAATATTTGGTCTATTATACACTTAATGGATGTAGATGGTCAGCTCTTGAATTATGACAATTTCTGCAGAAGATACAATTTTAAAGATTCTGAGCTTGACTTTAACAGGTTACATAATGCACTTCCAAAACAGTTTATCATCCAAGCCCGAGAATATCTAAAACATCAATGTTCTATTCCAATCCTTCCTATCTTATCTATTAAAGGTCTTCTGTTAACTGACAGAAAATGCAACAATCTTACAATAAGATCAGCCTTAAATGAATCTCTTTTTCCTGGAAAAACAAACAAAAATAACATAATTTACAAATTTGATAAAATATCTGTTGAGAAAATAAGAGCTATCTACCTAAAATTACCTATACCACCGAAAGCTAAAGAAACCCACTTTAAAATAATGAATGCAATCTATCCTTCAAAAGAGTTGTTAAGAGCTCGTTTTAATATTGATAGCAACAACTGCTCTTTTTGCGAAAATCACATAGAAACTATAGATCATATATTTTATGAATGTCAGAAAACACAATTGTTCTGGAAAAAGCTAGAGATGTGGATCAGAACTAAAATACCACTCCCAGTTCACATCACTAAAGATATGATAATATTTGGGATTCTGTTCAATAATAAAGATAAAGAACTCTGCTATAATATCATCCTCTGTTTAGCCAAAATTTTTATCCATAAACAACGAATTTTGCAATCATCCCCTGTCTTCAATGTTTTTTAATAGAATTTCAATTATATTTAAAATCCCTGAAACAACTCAACAAATATAGTGAAAATCTATATAACATGTTAGCTGAACTTCCAAAGTGATTTCCTAATTCTATATGATATATGCTGTACCCTCATTGAAAGCTGTACTTGTTCTTCATGTTCTTTTGTCTCTTGTTGTTCTCTTTTACTGGATACTTACAAATGTTATATTAACTGCTCCTTTTGAATTTAAGTTTTGAACTTAACATAGTCAAGGTGCCATGTTTGTTTGTAAATTTACTAAATTAAAAAAAAAAAAAAAAGATCGGCTCGGGGTCCGTCGACTGCCGATGACGTCTAAGTACGGCAAACCCACTCGGACAAAATAAACTACACATCTATAGTGTTGGAAAGAATTTAGCAGTTTTGTTATTAAAATAATGTTTCTTAAGACGTAAGTTTGTGTTTATAATGGTATTTGTAAAATAAAACACTATATTTTATTCACAATGTTGAACTCCTCTTTGAGCACATCCCTTGAAGAATCATAGGTATTAGCAACACCTGTTAAATTGTATTTGCAGGAAAGAAGTGTGTCCCGTTTATTGAAGTATTTTGTGTTTAGAGTTTTTGACGCTACTATTTATACATCAAAAACACTGAGTCTAAGAATTTCAATTTGTGACGTACAGAAAAGACATCTTCATTTCATATCCATGCGTATAGTTACGCTCATAGCTGCTAGCCAAAACTCTGGAGTTAAAAGTTTTCTGGCTTTACTAAAATACCTGTCTGTACTTATTTGATTGATGGTAATTTTACTTTCTATTAGACTCCAAATGTAATCATTTGGCACGTTTCTAATTCATAATTTGTAATAATGTAATCGGCGATATTAGCATTAGCGTTCCTATGGGTTTTTCCATGTATATCAGCATTGCGCTAACCACTCGCTGCCAAATTGCAGCCTTTGCGATGAGAAAATCTCCTTTTGTCACATCGCAATTTAATTGCACATGCAGTTAATCGTTCAGCCCTAATATACATGCAGCTCTATGCTAAAAGTGTATTTTCAAAGAGGTAATGATGGATTTCTTTGTAAAAGTTGTCCATCTTTCCAACAGAAAGATTTGCCTGGAACAACGTAACGTGATTGCGTAATTCCGTAAGGTTCATGTTCAGCCAATCAACTACTTAGACGTCATCGGCAGTCGACGGACCCCGAGCCGATTTTGCACCCGAGCAGATCTTGTACCGACACCGGGGCTTTTCATGAAACGTCCAGGGCTTCAGCCCAAGTACCCGGGGCCTAACGCCGCCCCTGCTCAACATCATGCCCGGGATGCAGGATGAGAAGAGACAGATGCCACTACCAAAATACATCTATTCCAAATAAGCACCTGACATCTCGGAAATTATACGCTTCCACATTTACCAGCTGCAGAAAAAAAGGGAAGACGGTAAATCTATGGAGCTTGTAAGATGATGATTTGACAAAACCATTATGTGTAAACGCAAGCTTCTTGTTGGGAGTTTAATGGCGGCTGCATGAAGAATCTTTAGACCCATAAATACAAAGTCATTTAAAATTAGGCAATTGTTTATGAATTAGATTATACTGAGATTTTTACTACTTTGGACCAGTTTTTGCCTGAAAGCTTTCTCCAAATAAAACCTCTATCTTCATTTAATGATGTAATCCTTTTTAAAGCCCTCTTCTCTTCCTCCCATCCTGGTTTCAATTAAACATTTTAAACATGATCCCAAAAATAAAAAGTGACATTAAAAAGTTCCCCCAAAGACACTAAACAAATTAAAACCTTGCCTCCTGTCAAAATATTGTTTCCCCCTTTCTTTTTGTTGCTCCATCTGTTCCTATTTTCTCTTCCTTTCCTCTCTCCCACTCCGTATGCACACACAAAGTCTGGAACACAAAATCCTTTCACAGAGATGCCTTTTCCCTGTCAAAATACACCAGCGTTACTCCGGGGGAGACATTTCCTGCCCTAGATAAAACAGAGTGGAGGTAGAGGAGGTTTCTTTCTCAGATTGTAAGATCCGTGGGTCAAGTTGGGTCATTCGGATATTTTTTTAGCCTGATCCTAAACATGCTTTCACAGATCAGCACATCACAAACTGCTGCTCTGTTTTCCTACACACTCCCACTAACCAAGGTCGGAGCACTGGACGACCCGGAGCTGGCAGTGACAGCCGAAGGGGCACATGGGAACATCGGGAGTGGGGGGCTCAGGGGTGCCTGAACCTTCAATCTGATCCCTCATCATCGTCATCATCCCGCCATTCTCCAAACTGTCCAGAGCGAAGTCCCAGAAGCCTCGTTGTTCAAATGGCAGAGCGGAGGAGGGCGGGACCAGCTGGGTCACACACAGCAACAGCAGACAGGAGCAACGGGGCAACATGTTGGATGTGAACACCTGTATGAACACAGGAAGAGAGAGAACTTTTAGTACATTTAAACATTGTTTGTTTGTTTGTTTGTTTGTTTGTTTGTTTGTTTGTTTGTAACTTTCAATCATCAACTGCCAAAAGGAAAAAGGGTGGCGGCAATGACAAATAAAGCTACAAGGGCAAGTACAAGCTAGCTTCAAACATTTTCATGCCTCTCAACAATGTTCTAACATGTAAATATTTTGTGGAGATTTAAAAAAAATGCAAACAATAATAAAGTGGTTTTCTTGCATTTGTCTAAAATCCTCAGCCAATAACATGTTTCGGTCCAAAAGTAACCACTGGACCATCCAGTTCTCACCGATCCACCACATTTACCTGGGTCCTCCCTTCATCACACACTCGAGTATTCAGCAACAGAACACCATGGTGTGAGAGGTTCGCCACTCAGTAATATCAGAGAAGGAGAAATGGTCAGCTGCTACCTCTTCAATTTTAGAACAACTACCAGAGTTCCAAAACAGAAAAACACCATTTGAAGTCACGAACAATAAAAGACGCTTGGACGTAGAAAACAGCGACTAGTGTTTAGCACCCCCTAGTGTCCGATTGGTAGAACCAAAATCAAAACTTTTCTCCTCCCTGTATGTTCATCTTTTAACACCTTAATCTTGCTGCTGAAATGTCCCCTCAGTCTTCATCAGTGTCTACAGAAGTGGTTCATCACTAACTAAAACAAATCAGCTGTGTTCATGTTCTAAAGCATGCTCGAAGCAGACTATGTCAGCTCCAAGTCCAACAAGTGGGGCCCCACCACTCTGAAGTACAATATTCTGGCTACAGGGGGCAGTGGGGGTCTGAGTGACAATTCGGTAATCCTTTAAAGCACATATGGCAGACATAAGGCCCGCGGGCCAGATGCGGCCCGCGGAGAATTTTTATGTGGCCCACGAGATAAATATCAAAAATATATTAAAACTGGCTCGCTGGCCGATTTTACCACAAAGACTTCAACTCCCATGATGCTTTGCGGTGTTAGCGCGGAGCCGACGCGCCCCCTCCTTTGTGTTTTTTCCAGCGTCTGCTGCCGGTGTCTGCAGCTCCGCTGTCTCGGACAAACTAAACACTCCTCTCACTCAGTGCAGAGTTTACTCAGCTATTTTCTGACGTTGAAGCCCAGAAACGGAGATTCTAGCTTCTCAGTAATGTGTTCACGACTGAACTTGTTGGACTTGAAGCTGACACTCGTCAGTGACTTGATGCAATTTGCTGGGTTCCTTATATAGGAAACATTATTTCTGATTGGCTTAATGAACTGTGATTTGGAATGTTTATTATGTGAAGTGCTTTGAGACGACTCTTGTTGTGATTTGGCGCTATATAAATAAACTTGAATTTAATTGAATTGAAAGAGAAAGTTTTCCAACTAACGTCCAGACAGAGCTGATAAAACTCAAGCGAGCAGCGACACGCTCAAACCAGCTCTGTGGTTGCTGTCGTATTTCCTCCCCAACTCACAACAACGTGGTCAAGCTGCTCAGACATGTTCATCAGCACAAACCTATGTGAGCACCTGTTGTCATCTAATGTTGTCATTATTATGATGAAGATGAACAAAACAACAGGAGTCTCCTCCTCAGCTCAGATCAACCCCATGATGCAGGTATCTGGCTGGAACAGGTGAGCATCACAATAAACCAGTGGAGCAAACTGAGCTTTAAATATTTAGGTTTTATGCTCTTTTTCTGCTCCAAAACATGAAAGTTAACAGGTGAGATAATGCAATTTTCATTTAAGATAAAATGATATTTTTATTTTGTTGTTGGCACGTGAGAAAAGATTTAACCTACAGTAAACATGAAGTGGAAAGGCTGCAGATAGATGAATAGAATAGAAAATCTCTTTATTGTTCCTCAGTGGGGAAAGCTAGATGTCACAGCAGTGATGACACTTATTACAGGGGAAAAAAGGAGAATAAAAAAATAAGAAAAATGAATAAACAACAAGAAAACATAAATCCTGAATAGATTTTAAAAATGCTGAATATACCACAAGTAATGAATACCACTGATGCCTTTTATTTAAAACTGATTTGCTCGTGTGTAATTTGGTTATTCCACATTCAGTGTTAATGCAGAAATAAGTTTGTTTCCAAATTTAAAGGTTCAAAATTGCATATATGTTGATAAAGAAAATGTGCAAATTTGCCGTCACTTTTTCAAAAAAATATTAAGTTTGGCCCTCGACTCCATCCCAGAGTTTCATTTTGGCCCCGTGTGAGTTTAAGTTTGACACCCCTGTTTTAAAGGGTCATTTTAGCACATGCTGGCTCAAAAATTATTTAAAAATGTGAAAAAGTTGCATAGTATGACTTTAAGTAATGATACTGGATCAGTCGACCCACGTCAAGAAGGCCCCCGCTTGTGTTTAAGGTTTCTCTTTAGGAGTGTCCAATAGTGAGTATGAGGGGCATCAGACCTGCCCCAAAAGATCCATGGAAGATGGAGGATTTCCAAGACAGAGGTTTTCCTTGGAGCATGGAGACCCCAGGGAAACTGTCACCAGGGAAGCCCCAACCCTCCTCCTGAGAGAATCACCCCTGGGGAGCCAACCAGCAGCCATGCCATAGGTCCAGGAGACAATAGCAGTAAGCCCTGAGGCCCTCCCGCAGCTGCCCACTCCAGGGCAGACCGAGATTGGAATTCAGCGGCCTGAGACCCAAGGGTGCTCAACCCCCGCAGAGACCCCAAACTCCACCAAGCAGTCACCAGGAGCAAGCGGGCAGTTACTAATGACTTCCAGCCCCACATCTTCAACAAAACAACGAGACAAAGACCATGTTTGGCAAGAAATAGTAAATAAGGCTTTTCTAATAAAGTTGGAACATTTGTACTGGCATGTTCAACTAGATGATTAAACACATGAATAGAAAATCTTGGGGACTGTAGTGTTTTTTCTGCCCACGTGTTTTAGGGTTCAGACCTTTTACATGTAAAATGTTCACAAAAGACCTGCATTTAATACTAAACTAACACAAAGGCTGTATTGTATCTGAACATCACCTTTTTGTCATCCTTAAGCTAATCCTTCCATAGGCATGAAGTCAGTTTAGTGGTCAAACAATATTATGAAACGGTCTGCCTGTGCCTAATTACAAGGCCTTACTGTTTACACCACACCTAACGAGCCGACTCAAACTGGAGGCTGGTGAGGAGAAACATACTCATTCTGTGTCGCACACTAGAAAAATGACCCTCTTCAACCACATCAAGATGTCACCATCTGCCTCCCACACAGAGAAGCTCAAGCCGTTCCTCTCTAGCCAATCAGATAGCAAAGAAGACATCACCTGAAGTGATGGAAACATTTATTCAGCAAACTAGTGTTGCAACAAAGCCACCATTCACTTGCAGGAGAAACGGGTTGCGCCAAATGTTTGAATGTCATGAAACACCGGCTCCGTGATATCATGGTGTAGCGCATGCACACACAATACTGATCACGGTCACCAGAAGTGTGTGTGTGCGTGCATGTGTGTGTGTTCGTTTGCCAGCTTTATCCTCCCTGTACTAGCCTGACCCACATGTGTGATGTCACCTACCGTCTTCAGGCCAGATAAACAAATGATTACCAGGCCAAGTGATTTACACAGTTGGAATCATGACCCTCAGAGCTAATCCAGGAAAGTAAAAACCCACTAGGGACTGGGAATTGACTGAAAACTCTGTAATCTCATAATTGTTTTTGCATTAATTCCACATCTGATCCCCAGGGCTCTCCCATTTGATTTGATTTGATGTTAGAATGGGAAAAACAACTTGAAGGAAATTTTTCAGCATGTTAGAGTTTGTTTCTGTGTGAAAGTTGTAAATAATCCCTACTGTAAGTAGTTGTATGAAAGGCCACCATTCATTGAAATAGATGAGCTATCTCAAATGCTTTAACCAGCTCTAATCTGCTAAATTTGACATTTCATGCAACTTTTACACACATATGGACCTTTAAACGATGGAAGGTTTGCATCACACAAAGATTAGATTTCTGTCAGTCTTTACCCCTGAACTGTACTTTCTTTGACACGAAATGTGCTACTACTAGTTCACCTGTTGAATTCATTATAGATTCACTAAGACAAAGACAATAAAGTTTATCTCTTACTAAATAGAATATTTACTAAGAAATCACAATGTAGCCATAGAAATACTACTTGGTATAAATGTTGTGTGTGCCTGCTCTGTCTTCTCGATCCCCAGTGAGTCGTGGTGGATGGCTGCTTATACTAAGCCAGGATCCTCTGGAGGTTTCTTACTGTTAAAAGGGAGATTTCCTCTCCACTGTCGCTAAATGCTTGCTTAGTGTGAGGACTGCTGTAAAGACACTGACACTAGTCAGTGACTTAATGCAATTTGCTGGGTTCCTTATATAGGAAACTTTTTTCTGATTGGCTTAATGATTTAATGTTTACTGTGTAAAGTGCCTTGAGATGACTTGTGTCGTGATTTGGTGCTATATAAATGAACTTGAATTGAATTGAAAGCACTGGAAGCAATATTTGAATGCCACCAGTCTTATTTTACCTTGTAAAAAACTTGAGAGTTTCATGTGAATGATCAACGTATGCAAAAATAAAAGACAGTCATTTGCAAGAACTTCAAAATTTCAAGGCCAAAAATAAACTGTGGTTTTGGCCGAATCTTCAGTTTGCGCTAACACTTCTTTACACTGTGTCATTAACACCTTTTCACACAAGGTTGTTCAGGATGTGACCAAGAAACCCAGCAGGAGAACAGTATAGTTTGACCTTCTGCAATAGTAAAGGCACTGATGAGTAATGGCACATGCAGTGGTGCCCCAAGAAAAGTTTCATGGGGGGGGGGGGGGGGCATGGAGCCAGAGAAAAAACTTTATAGCCTGTAGTGATGCAATAAATGCCTATTTATTCATTTTCATTTAAAAAAAACAATAACATTAATAAAGAACGCTGGTCTTCCCTGGGTGTGGACAGTGGGCTGGCTAACAATTTTCCATGGGTCACCCCTTGCCACCAGCAAAGGGGAGCTGAGAGGAACATTTTAAAATCTATTTATTAGTTTTTACTAGTTTATTGTGCTTCAGTTTTTCTTCCTTTTTTAATCAAGCACCATTCACATTCCTATTCCTTTTTTAGTGCTTATTTATGTTGTTTATGTGCTTAGCAGATGCTTTTACCCAAAGCAACTTACAATTTTTTTTTTATTTTTTTATTTTTTTTTTATAACCTATAGGGCATGTTGTGATCTGTGGGGGAAACCGGAGTACCCGGAGAAAACCCACGCATGCATGGGGAGAACACGCAACTCCACGCAGAAAGGCGAGTCTTGAACCTGCGACCTTCGTGCTGCGAGGCAACAGTGCTAACCACTGCGCCAACATGCAGCCCATTAAATTTATTTATTTAAATAAATGTGTTCATTTCAGGAAGCACAAAGGCTTTGCAAGTATCAAAACGGCCCAGAACCAATGCCCTTGAATGTTGTAGACTTTTTCTATTACAAAAGTAGATGTATAACAGTGAGCCTTTCTACAGAAAATCTAAATTATAGTTCCATTAGAATATGCTTATCAATAAACATCAATTCAGCATTCAATCCAGTAGAAATTATCCAGTTGTACTCTTTTATTTCCAGCCTCTTGCACTAACACCGTTGTTTTAAAGCTGCTTATGCAACCTTCTGCAACAGAAGGGTTTTTTTTTGTTCTATTCAAAGAAACAGCATTATTATTTGGGAGCATTACAGGCTGTAAAACAAAGAGCTTGTGCATTATGTGAAACCAGCTTAGAAGCATGAATGACTGGTCCCTGAAGTCTGCTCTTTGCAACATAAATAGCTGCCAAATTATACCATTTTACAGCAAAGGGGAAAAAAACAACCCTCTGGCCTTGACTTGACCAGAAGAATGCAGGCAAAAGGACATGGCCAGAGCCTATAGAGTAAACATCACATAATGACACAACAAAATGACATAAAGAATATGCAACCATTGTTGTAGTTTATATTTTGCAGCATAGTGGCAAGTATGCATTGTAAATCTACTAAGAATGTGACAGCAGTGGATTTCTTCCTTCTGCAGAGGTGTGATAGCAGATGCAGAGCTGCAGAAATCCTGATAAAGGAGATAAACAGAGCCCATTGCAGTCTGATCTGCACAACTAATGTACAAGGCTACTATAAACACAACATGACGACATGACTAAACTCCGTCCCACAATAAAACAGCCCTTCCAGTCCTAATAAGCACTTTTATCTGCCTCTAGTGTTTGCACATATGAATCCCTCTCTCCTGTCAAACATCCGGCTCTGAGATGAAAATCTCAGCTCTCCTCCCACCCAAAGCCATGAGCAGTTTAATGGATGGATGGATGAATACATGGGTGGCTATTCCTGTCCCGTTTTAATGTGTGACGCTGTGATGCCTTAGTGTGTGTTCGAAGTGGTGGGAGTGTGAGACTAGAGAATGGAAAAGGAAAATAAAAGCAGAGTACAGGATGACAAGTCTAAAAGAGAGAAAACATAAAGGAGGGAGTCGTGTCAGTGGTGGTCAGGAGGATGTCAAATGTGACAACATCTGGGCTCAACTATACAATCTAAACAGTTTGCAGGTCTTTATATTTGGCTTTTCTCAGGCGTTACTGTATGAGTTATAGTTAGGGACTCCAACTTTTCAAACAAATCAAGACTAAGGGTAAGGCGTACATTAGTATCAACAAACCTCATAGAAATGCTTACCATGTCCACAAGAGTGTTTGGATACACTTTTCCTATTGAATCATTGCAGATCCATTAAACTGAGACCTCTACTTTAATTTTCATTCAATGAATAGAATAAAATAAAATAACTCTGGCAAATGCATGTACCATTTGGAGTACAAAGGCTTGGCACTTTTTTTTTTTATTATTTTACCCTTTACTAAGGGGACTTGGTACTTGTAGTTTGTACCTTTTATTTATTTATTTATTTGTTTGTTTGTTTGTTTATTTAACTAGTGTTTTAGGAGGATAAATCCCCTTGAGATGAGACATCTCGTTTTCGAGGGGGTCCTCCTTTAGTACAACAAACAAAATTAGGACAGCAAGTGACTGACAACAAATACCCATTTGCATGTGTGTGTGTGTGTGTGTGTGTGTGTGTGTGTGTGTGTGTGTGTGTGTGTGTATACATTAAAATAATTTAAGAAAACTAAATATAAACGAACAAAACCACTAACTAAAACAATCACACATAACAATCTTCATACAATCTCACTCCCACAATGCTCCTTTAACAGTAGGGGTTGTGGTTCTGTCTTACAAGTGGTAAATTAGGTGCAGCACATTATCAGTTAAAAACAATTACAATCAGGTAAGATGTGTAAATAAACAGAGTTCTTGAGTAAACAAAAAGATGTAATGGACCTCATTTCAACAGGAAGTTTATTCCAATCCAATAGAGCTTTAACTCTAAAAGCAAGTCTCCCAACTTCCTTCTTGAATGAAGGAACAACAAAAGAAATCTGTGTATTTGACCGGATACTATATGATGCAAGATACGAAATTTACTTCTGGTGATGGCGTTGTATCCTAGACTACTGGTTCCCAACCTGGGGTCCGTGACTCCCCAAAGGTGGCCCGCAAAAGGTTACGGGGGATCCAAACAGTTTTGTGTGTGCTAATGTGTGCTAAGGTTACCAAGATTTTAGTTGTAAAAACTACATTTATAAAATCCAGATAACACACCCAATAGTACAAAGTACAATGTAAGAGGCATAACTCTGTATCTGTTTAAAGTTTGCAATTCCATTCGTCCATTTTCATCCACTTATCCAGGGATCGGGTCGTGGGGGCAGCAGCCTAAGCAGAGAGGCCCAGACTTTCCTCAACTCAGCTATTTGGGCCAGCTCCACCAAAACGGGGTTTCGTGTAAGATTGTTGGACTAATCAGTGGTCCCTCTATAAATATAGGGGCCTTAACACCCCATTGTCAGAAAAATCCTAGATCCACCACTTCACAATACGGATGCTACCATAAATCGTTTGAAAGATTATAGCCAAAGTCCTCAGTTTAGTACTAATTTGACTTACAGCCAAGAGAAAAGCAAACTATGAAACTTTAATATTTTCATAGAGAAAGCATTCCTTAACATGCTGAGAAAGATTGTCACATTAAATCTGCCAAAATACACCAGACCTGACAATTCCAATCGAGCCCTACATCGCTGCCTCGTCTTATTCTTTCCCGCAACACACGCTGCGCTTCAGACCATGCTGGCAGGCGTGGAAGCAAAGCTAAGGTGAGACCAGGTCGCTTATGGAGTGCCAGCTGGCAACACAATGCTGGTGTACTGGTAGCTGCCACGTCAACACTTGGTGCCAATTAAAATCACATAGTGGCTCGTAGTGATCACAGTGCTGAGTGAGCACAAAAGTGTAGATGGGTGTAGTGCTGCAAAGACTAAATCATTGTTTGCATTGAGCCACACAATGGGATATTTTTGTTTCTTCTGAACTCGATCCAAGCTGCAATAAACTCCGACACAAAAGCACAAATGCAAAATCACACAAATGTTTGCATGTGGGGAGCCGTGCCAGCCCACGGACATTCCCTTTCAAACAGATTCAGTGTACAAAAACTCTGGGAAGTCATCTGCTTGTTTGACTCAGTGTCCCTAGTTTCATCGAGCCAATTGTTCATGTGAAGGACACACTCAAGCATCCTTCGTTCCTGTACCCTTCACACATGCATCTCAATCTGCTGCTGCTAGGCGGGTCCAGTAAGCAGACTCGGGTGGAGTTAACTGCACCAGCAGCTGTAATTTGGTGACTTCTAGCCCTAAAAAAGGAACTCTTTGGCAGAAACTCTTGTGCCGCCGCGCTTCGATGTGGTAGAAGGCTGTACTAGGCTGCAGGGATGAAGCCCAACTTAAGCTGAGCAAAATGCAGAGAAACAAAAGAGGGTCCACATTTCTCTGCAACAGAAGAGGACAGCTGAGCTGAAGACTAATGCCTGTGGGCTAGTGGGCCTCATTCAAAGAATGTGTATAATTCCAAAGGTTGTGCAAGTTTAGAATTGGTTATGACTCTGCAGCAAGACAGAGTAATAACAAATGTTCCCTGTTACTTTCTGTTTTGGTAGAATATTCTAATGAGTCGATACTAATAATAAAAAGCAGCTTTAATAACTCTGAGAATAGAAAACAATAAGATGTTGAGTGGAAACATGATACCACAGAGTCTATCATGTCTATGGCACAGACAAACCAGACATGAGCAAACAGACTGGCAGGTGTGTGGTGGTCAACCCGCAGGCTGGCTAATAGGCAGGGTCAGAAAACACACATTTAAACCATCAATTTTAACTGGCTGACCATTTTCCACTCAGTCTCACATAGTTACCAGTGTTAACCCCATGAGAATGATTTGGTTTCTGGATTTAAATGATTCATGTTTTTTGCATGAAATATGGGATAACATGGAAAAGTAGTGCAGTACAGTGTAACATACTGAGTTGGCTATAATTCACTATTATTGTACCTAAATGGTAATTGGGGTTAGTTAGGTTTGTCTATCGAGGCATCAAAGGTGTCCTAAATTACAGGTCAAGTCTGCAAATACATTAATAGTGTTTAAACGTTGTTGCGCCCTCTTCTGTCCTCGTGAGGTTACAGCGTGCAGCAAACAGGTTGAGTGAAACGGTCAGGTGACCCGGATTTTATATGGTTTATTGAGCCTAAATGAGGAAATAATTATAAAAATGTATTAATAATTTGGTTAGAATTTTTAAATTAAAAACACTAAAGATCAAAAACAAACTAATCAACTCAACATCACCTGAAGCACTTAAACAAGCTTTAAACATTAATTAAACATCAGATTAAACATTTGATTTAATTATACGCATAGCTCAATGGCTTACATGATATTTAAATATCTACAATAACAATTAAAGAAATCCAAAGCCTACCTTTCGGTTATGATATTAACTCCAAAATGTGTGCCTTTTTCTTTTCCTCTGCGTGTGAGTCTTTCCTGGAAATAAAAAAAAAAGTCATATGTTTGCATCACATTCAGGGATGAATAATGCCAGTGTCCCCCAGTGATCCTCCGACATCCAGCCACAGCTCCTCCGAGTCTGCACTCCTCTGAGAAACGTGTCAGGTCTCCGTGCATGCGTGCGTGTGTGTGTGTGTGTGTGTGTGTGTGTGTGTGTGTGTGTGTGTGTGTGTGTGTGTGTGTGTGTGTGTGTGTCCCAGTCAGGAGAAAGACTGTGTGTCTGCAGAGCCGAGCCCATAAAGTTAACAAGCCAGCCTCCTTTCTGGAGAAGGAGGAGGGGACCGAGACTCAGATTTAGTCAAACCCGTAAATAAAAGTTTTCAGCTGTGACTTCAGTTATTTCTACACAATGAGCATGTAAAGAAATTTGTAATTTTATTGGAGCTGAACTCCAAAAGAAGGAGGAACAAATCATAATAATAATGTCAGAGGCTCTCCTCAAAACTACTGCTCCACGAACGACCAATGAAGGCTAAACTTATGCACAGCAGGAGTGATCAAAGACACATCAGCCTTAAAAATGTAACAAATCATCTAAATTCTAATTTCTAATTATTTGTACCAACAGACCTGCCTTAATTATTGATGTAGTTGACCTAAAGTGTTTGACACTCCTCAGAGATTTTGGTCCATATTGACATTTTAACATCACACAGTTACTGCACTTCCATGATATGAAAGTCATTTTCCACCCCTTTTCATATTTTCTGAGATCTGTTGGCTATGAAGACCAGTTAAAACCAGTTTGCAATGTTGTGAGCCTTATCTTGCAAGAGGTAGCCATCAGACAATGGGATAACTGTGGTGTTAAAGTAACAACAGATAGACATTTTTTTTAAACTTAAGGCTAGAGCTTTAAAGTTGATCTCAGTGGTTGTTGGGTTAGAAACATGACCACTTTCATATTTGACACTACTCCGTACCCCAAAATCGCACTTGATAGTTTTGTGGAGTGGGTAGGTGTCCTAGGGGGAGCTCTTAACCTGCTTTATGGCTATTAGCTAGAATGCTAATAGCAACTTCAGTTTGCCAATCATCAATACAAAGCACAAGGAGAAGAAAACTACAGAAGTAGTTTGCTTTTTTCTGTTGGCGTCATGGCAAAGACTGGAAGTAAAAGTAAGTCAGTGATATCTTTAGAGGCAAAGGGAAGAGCTAAAACTGGAGTGAACGTTGGAGCGGGCTAAATTAGTTTGAGGGAGCTAACGGGCTAGAAAATCACAGACTGATGGTGACCTGGCTTTGTTGCTACTGGACTTTTAAGTAATAATATTTTTTTGTCCAACCATGTGAATCTTTTTACTTCATTGTTTGTTTTAGTATTAGTTGGCTCATGTTAGTGTTAGATCCTTGTTAGCACTAGCGACAGCAGAGTTGTTTATGACAGTTGTAGTTTCACTTTCAACCAGTAGGGCGGGAGACTCAGCCTAAATAATAGTCTAAAACAGCAGTACCTAATAGACCTGGCCCGTGGGGCCCTTCTTTGTGGCCCCCGAGCCCCCCTCCCCCTCCTCATATGAGTGCCCCTGGCCTAAAATCTCCCTCACAACAGTGCACCAGCAGCCTGGCCAGTTGAAGCAAAGCACGATGGATCCATGTTTTCGTGTTGACACCAAATTCTGATCTTCACCACAGCTAGATGCTTTAGTTGGTGCTGTGTGGTTGGCTGGTCAACTTTTTGTGTTTACAAATAGAAACGGTGTGCCTGAAAGCGCGGGTGGTGAATGTATCTGGGAGATTTTTTGGTTGATTTAAATCAGAAGCAAGCAGTCTTGCAGGGATAACCAAATGAAATCCTTCTTCTATTGCAACTCCAATTTCAGCCTTGCAAATAGTTTTTTCACACAAATCATTTCTATTTAGTGCCCGGTGTTTTCAAGGATAACATCCTTTAGTTTTCTACTTAAACAACACTGGAGAAATACTTGTTTTTGTACATATTTGGGGTTATATAACATTTTCTTATTACTGAATTGCCAAAAACAAAAAGCAATTCACAAAAAAGTCCCAGGACTTACTTCCAAAAACATTAAGGCCTTTTCTGGAATTGTTGTATCTTTTAGTTTAAAGAGATCATGAAACACATGATTTTGTGTCTTTTTTTTTTAAATTAATTTAATGCTTTTTTTGGCAGGACGTGAGTCTCGTTCTCTCTATGCGACTCTCTGATTTCTTCTCCGTGTTGCCAGCACCCAGATCCAGGCAGTGAGTTTGGCAAGCCGGTACATCTGGGAACTTGTCCGACCTCATGCAGACAATGTCACACAGCCATGTGGTGTGTGACATTGTTATTTATCCATCAGTTCTGCTGTTCCTGGACTATGAAATCCTTTTCATCAACATCCATATTAACAAAAGCAGATTTAAACTGATCTGGGTGTAACTTTTAGGTTAGCTATAGGATCCTTTATGGCAGAAAATATAGCAGAACCCACAGCAGCAGAAGGGTGCAGGCCAGATCAGTGCCCTGCAGGGATCATTAGCTGCAGCCAAAGTTTTGACAAAAGTTTTGTATTTGCCAATGACATTCCTCTTGTCTCTGCTTCTTCCTTGTTTTTCTTTGTAGATTCCATCTTTTGGCATGCCCGTCCCCTCTTTGCTGTGTCTGACTTGATTATGGTGTGGGTCTGTAGCTAGAGGGCTTGGCATCTAAATTAAACTAATTTAACCCAGAGTGCTCAGCTAATGTGTCTCTGGAGATTAGCGCACCCATTCAATTTGTCTTGCACAGGTGCTGCCCAGGTTTGTGTGTACACATGGACCTATAGAAGACTGACCATTAAAGGACAACTAGGCAGTTTTGGCTTGCTTTGAGCACCCCCTAGTTTCTGTTGTAGAACCAAAAGCAAAACATATCTCCTCTCTGTGCGTTCATCTTTATAACACTTTAACCTAAAAGCTTAAATGTCTCCTCAGCCTTCCATAAAGTCTACAAGAGTGGTTCATCAATAAATTAAACAAATCAGCTGAGTTCATAATCTAAAACATGCAGGAAACGTGCTGGAAGCAGACTGCAGCACCTGGTGTGTCAGGTCAATTTTTCTAAGTCCCAACAGAAGTTGCAAGTGGACTATTCTGGCCATGGGGGGGGGGGGGGGGAATAGGGGCTGTGTGGCCTTTCATTAATCCTATAAAGAGTCACTTTAGCGCACAATGGTTCAGGAAAATTAATTTATGAAAAAAGTTGCATCTAATAGGTAAAGGTTTATCAGATGCTCTGACCCCCGATGACTGATCTTCTCGTGTTCTTCCCACAGTCTCATATTCTGTTTATTTCTCTTCATGTTTTTTTCTGAAAGTACCAGATTTATTTTTAATTTTAACAGCCATAACACCCCCCTCAGTCCAATAACAAACACAGGAAACTGCTGTCTCTTGGTAGAACCCTCAGCACAACTAGAGGAGAAAAGCTTGACACCATTTTTCGGTCAACCACTTTACAAATGGGATCTTGCTCAAGTCCAACGGATGGGATGCAAAACATCTGCTGAGAGTTAAGAGATGTCAGCTTAACAATTTAGTTTCATCGCACACGTTGTTATGATGGATGACCTTCAAGGTGTCAACGCTGTCAGATTTGAAAATTCCCCTCTCTCCCTTTCAGGAAGGTTCAGGGATTTAAGGACGAGCTCAAGCATCCGATTGGGAGAGGTCAAAAAGAAAAAAAAAAGATGAGAGAGAGAGAATTTGTTTTAAGCTTCAGCTCAACACGTAGCGTCGAGGCAAAGCACTGTAAATGCAAATGTGCAGTTTCTTAGACAGTAATGTGCTATTTACAAAATGACTGTACAATTATGGAGACTGCACCACATGCACAGGACTAAAGCAAAGAGCTACCGTGTTATTACACGCCTGGGCTCAGAGAGTGAAATGAGTGTCTGTCTATATGAGACCATACATGTGCTGTTCTCTCATGTCATTGTTTCCATTGTCTTCGGCTCACATCCTGACAACACAATGATCTACTTTAGGTTATCACTCACTCAGGAACCTTGGGTTCTTCATCTAGAGCTTCAGAAACGCAGATCCGTGTAGAAATCGTGCACCGCGAGCCTCCTGGTTTACACTCCATCTGTAAGCTGTGACTGCTCATTTGACAGTTGAGAACAGTTCATCATCTTTTAATTCAATTAAATTCAATTCAAGTTTATTTATATAGCGCCAAATCACGACAAGGCACTTCACATAATAAAAATTCCAATTCAGGTCAGTTCATTAAGCCAATCAGAAATAATGTTTCCTATATAAGGAACCCAGCAAATTGCATCAAGTCACTGACTAGTGTCAGTGACTATACAGCAATCCTCATACCAAGCAAGCAAAAGTGACAGTGGAGAGGAAAACTCCCTTTTAACAGGAAGAAACCTCCAGAGAATCCTGGCTCAGTATAAGCAGCCATCCTCCACGACTCACTGGGGATCGAGAAGACAGAGCAGACACACACACACACACGGACAAGTAATGTGTCTATAGTTATATTGTGATGTCTTAGTAAATATTCTATTTGGTGAAAGATAAACTTTATTGTATTTATCCTAGTGAATCTATAATTAAACGGATAAACTAGTATTAGCACATCAAAAGTCAAGGAAACCAAAAAGTTATTATCAGGAGAGGGAGAATGTTTAAGTGGTTAACAGCAGTCTGCTAGTCGATGGCCCCCTCCATGAGGCCACCACAACTCAGCAGAATGCCATTGTCGCTTCTTCTGGGGAGAAAAACACTTACAGAGAAAATAAAGTTAACAGCTGAAATTGCACAAAATAGTACAGTTAAAGAGCAGACTGTAGAAGAAAGCAGTAGAGTGTGAGAAGTGGTCAGTGTATCCTCCAGCAGTCTAAGCCTATAGCAGCGTAACTACAGAGATAACTCTGGATAATCTATTCTATTTAGATGTAGGCATGTTGGAGGCAGGGCAAGGGAGAGCCGTCTTTACCGACTGTACACTCCACCTCCCTCTACTCCCCCACTTGTCCAGATTTAGGCTAACATCAGATTTTAACCATAGGCCCTATCAAATAAAAATGTTTTAAGCCTATTCTTAAAAGTAGACAAAGTGTCTGCCTCACGGACTAAGGCTGGGAGTTGGTTCCACAGGAGAGGAGCCTGATAACTAAAAGATCTGCCTCCCATCCTAATTTTAGATATTCTTGGAACCACCAGTAGACCTGCAGTCTGAGAGCGAAGTGCTCGGTTAGGAACGTATGGAACAATCAGATTCCTAATGTATGATGGACCTTGATTATTAAGAGCTTTATATGTGAGAAGAAGGATCTTAAAATCTATTCTGAATTTAACAGGTGGCCAATGTAGGGAAGCTAAGACAGGAGAGATATGATCTCTCCTTTTAATTCTCATCAGAACTCTAGCTGCAGCATTTTGGACAAGCTGAAGACTTAACTATACACTAGGGTGCTGTGGACTTCCTGAGAGTAATGAATTACAGTAATCCAGTCTTGATGTAATAAATGCATGAACAAGTTTTTCAGCATCACTCCTGGAAAGTATGCTTCTAATCATAGCAATATTCCGAAGGTGGAAAAAGAAAATCCTACAAACTTGTGAAACCTGGGATTTGAATGACATGTCCTGGTCAAAGATAACACCAAGGTTCCTTGCTTTGTTTGCGGAGATTAATGTAATGCCATTAAGGTCAGGCGATTGGCTAAGCAATTTCCTTTTCTGGATTTCTGGTCCAAAGATGAGAACTTCCGTCTTGTCTTGATTTAAACACTACACAAAGTTATGTACTGTGAAATGAGCGTTGGCTTATATTCTGAAGTGGGCTCCACTGGCAGCAACGTTTACTTCCCCAAGTATTTAAATCTTATGTTACAAAAAAGTTATTTTATCACTTTTTCAGCAAAATAAGACCAAAAATGTGTTAAAGGAACGCTGCCTCACGTAAGCCCCTCCAGACCGGACCACCTTTCGTCCCGAGTCCTCCACGCTTCGAGATCGTAAGTTCTCAGAAACTCCCAAATTCAAATCCAGATCACATATTCCGGACCTAATCCCCTCTGTCTTTAGATCACCACACCTGATCCCCTTTCCGAAGAATTCAGCTGGACTTTCCGCTGCACTTTTAGTTCCACCTTTATAAATAAATTATTGTTTAAACTCTTACCTGCTTCGTTGGGCTGATTCTGTATGTCGTGGGTTAGACTCTTACCTCACAACATGACACACAAGAGTGCAAGCCTTACTATGAAGTCCAGCCTCAAAGGCATTCTACAAAAGCCGTGTGGCTTGCAAACAATATATATAAACCACAAAGGCAGAAGGGTCTAATGGTCTCATATTTAAATGACCATATGTTTCTGGTGTTTTTATAGAAAACCTGATAAATAGTAAGGAGATTGCTACAGTGGTTATGCATTCACAACCTTAATAAAAGCATAATTTCTTAACAGTTTTTAGGGATACTCATTATTGGCTCTTTTATCGATATCCGACAATCCGATATTGTCTGACTCTCAATTTCCGACAATGATGTAAGCCAGTACTGATATATGCTGTGTCTCCTTCTCATAAAAAAAGAAAAACTAAAACCTTTCGGGTTACTAACATCACATATCTCATCGTGCATGCTTAAATTTTAAATATTTTCTGTGTAAAATGACACTAAAATATCTCAAAACTTTACTTCAGATCCACCAAATTTTGACATTTTGGGAGTGAGGAGAAGTAGCTGAAGAGTTTGTATAATATGTGTGTGGTGTGTAGAAGTTGGACCATTAAAAGACTGAAACCCGATACATTTTTTTGATATTGAATATTTTGGCTGATATCGGCCAAGGTTCACCAAACGTCCCTACTAATTTTCTCTTCTGTGTTTTCTTCACGGCTGTTGTTGCTCGTAGCGCCTCCCGGTTGTGTCTGATGCTCTGACCTGAGTAAGGCCATCAGTATCTCCAGACAGGTGGGTCAGTGTGAGGAATGAGGAGAGGGACTGGTAGCAGCAAACCTGGACAGTGACATACAACCAGACGTGGTGTTCATGGATAAAGAGGGAAAGAGGACAAGGAATGCAGAGATGTGAGAATTAATCTTGTAAATGGGGTTAGCAAGGCACAGGAGCACAGGTGGCTTCTTTTTTCACGTGGGATTGTGATCTAGAACTCCCTCCGTCTCACTCCACACGACTCGATCTGCTGCTCTTCTCGTTTTCTCCATTTCAGCCCTGAGACCTGTTTAGAACAAAGGCTGAATTGTGTCCTAAAAACCAGCTTGTTGCGGGTTTTTTTCCCTTAATTCCACTCTGCCTGGAGTTGGTACCCTTTTCCCCCGACGTGAGACAAAATACTTTAATTGGCTGCTCCGCTGCTCTAATCTCTACATACTTTCACCCCAAGTACTACACACAACCCGGCAGAGACTGACGTAATCTCTGCATGTTTAGAAGCTTTAACAGAAGGTCAGCTGGACCCTAGGTTTGCTTATGCTGAGGATCTGCTGGTGGATGTTTATGTTGCAGCTGGTCTGGTGATAGAGGACCAATGAGATGTTTATATTCCTCCTTCTCAGAGATCCTTTATGGACATTTTCTCTGTCTTTGCCTAAGATTAGTTTTCTGGGTCACACCCCAACTTTATATCCATCTGATTAAAGGCTCCTCCTGCAAGAACCTCAGAATTAAACAAAATACATGTTAATCCTTTCTCAGTTGTAAAATTCCCAAAGTATCACGTTGCTCAATGAGAAGACGGAGAAAAACCCGTGTTTTTAGCAGATCCAGGTTTCAAAGCAACGTATTGTCCTTAAATATCTCTTTCAAAAGGATTTAGTGAAATAACTATACCAGAGTCTGTAAATTACATGATTTATTGCATATTAAAATATGACAGCTTCCTACCTGCATGGAGAGGACTTGAAAAAGAGAAGGAATGCTTTCAAGTGACTGAATTAGTAAGCTAGAATATTAAGTTGTTCTCCTGCAAAACTTCTCTTGTTCTAAGATGATCATGGGGGTGCAAAGAAGACAAGAGACTTTTCAAACACTGAGCAGCTGTTTGGCTCTTGGATAAGCTCATGTGGGTGTGTCCTGCTGTGGGTGAAGGACCAGTCCATGGGCGTCAGTGACACAAGAGAATGCCTTTGGAGGAACAGCCTCCACTTTCAGAAGATTGTTTTCCAGGTGGACTGAAGCCAACATGGAGGCCAAGTTACGAGGGTGACACACTCCCCACTGCCTCACATGCCTGTAACGACACACACTCATTCAAGCATGCAAACGGCTGTTTTAAGAAGCTTTAGCACTTTAAAAGGAATTGCATCTTCACCTGATCTGATTGCTGTCCAGCCTCAGCACCTGCAGGTTCTTAAACTGCCTCACGCATCGAGGGATCTCCTGCAGGCGGTTGTTGTCCAGATGGAGCTCCTTCAGCGAGCGGTAGCTTCCAACAAAAGCAACCTGCTCCACATCCCGGGTGCTCAACGAGTTGTGGGATAGATGGAGGGACCGCAGACCGGGCCGCATGTGACGAAAGACGAAGGCAGGGATGTGATTGATGGCGTTGTGTTGGAGGGTCAGCTTAAGGAGCCCTCGTGGCAGATTTGTTGGGATGGAGCTGAGGCGGTTGTGGGAAAGGTTCAAGTCTTCAAGAGATCTGAGAAACACACACAGAAGCTATTTAATGGATTTTCATTATAAGGCTTTTGCAAGAAGAAAACAACCAAGAAGTCAATAAAATCATGTATTTTTAAAATAGCTATATAGCAATGAGACTTTTATGTTAGTCTGTAATGTTTTACAGGGTAAAAGCTATAATGAGAGCTCAAGTATCTTCACCACCGACCACTTGTTTTACATTTACTGGACTCCTGTGAGCCGTGCTGGGGAGCTGGGGCTGTTGGACGGGATTTGATTGGGTAAGGCTGCAGGGAATTAGTGAGGAACACTGGGAAAGCAAAATAATGGGCCACAGCCGAGTGGGGGTGCCATAAGAGAGGGTGAGAGCTTAGCCAACGATAAGCAGGATAAAAACGTTTGGTTTGAAGGAAACAGAACAAGCAGCAGAAGAAGTTCTGGGATTTTTATGGAGGAGGGGGTAAAAGGTCTCAAAAGGCTGGGGTGAGTTTACAGCTGAGGAAGAACATTTTCTGCTCATTTGGGACAAAAGGGAAGAAACTAAAAAGAACTCAACTGGCAGCAGACTGACCTGTGATGGTCAACATAACTTTAGCTCTCATCCACTAAACATGGATGATCTGTTTTAGTGTCGACGAGTCACAATCACTTCTCATTTCTGAATTGTTCTACACTAAAAGTCAAAGTTAGCAGTAGGGTCTTTTTATTTCCTTCTGCTTGTCTGACTTCAAGGAACTTGAGCACAAATAAACAACTTTGATTCATAAATGTTTATAAAAACATCAAATCATTGCAATCATAAAAGGTTTACAAGAGCAACGGTGTTTCTCAGGGGACGAGAGAGTGAGCCGATCAATTGAATTCAAAAGAAACACTTTTCTACGGTTCCCTGAAAATCTGCTTTCTGAAATAAATCAACCCTCGTTTTGTCTGTACCAGTTCAAACCAGTTTTATTCTGTTACTTTGTCTTCAAAAAAAACTTTGCCAGGAAGCTCAGCAGCAGTCAGCCACTGCTCAGAGCTCCACATGGTATTAATGATCTTAGAGATCTCCACCCCTTCTGCACCCATACACACCAACGCTATAACACACATGTGCACATGTGTGAAAAAAAAAACAAATTAAACCTCAGGGATTTGCACCAAAGGTATCAGCAACTATCTGAAAGTGCACATTTGTGGATGTTTGGATGAGGCAAGACTGTAAGTCAGTTTTACTTAATTTCTTACATTTATCATGTAACCATTACAATCTTTTAATTAAAAATACTCAAAAATGCTATGATGGATGGACAGTGGCAGATTAGATGTGCACTTCTGCATGCAGATGATTTATGGATGATATCTGGAATTATTTTTTGGTCTGTTTGTTATATTGGAGCTGTAGTTGTCTTCTGCAGCTGTGCCTACAGCTGTCCCATCTGCATGCTGGGAACCAACTCCTAGCATTCGTTTTCTGCCATCACAAATAAACTAAAGAAGTTGTAGCTGTAACTCTAGAGGAAACCTGTAAAATGTGAGAGGATCATTTAATTTGTTTCACTTGACAGCAGGGCGATATTTTAGAGTCACTGGAGTGTGCATTTGCAGCTATGTGTGCTATTCTGCTTGTTTTCCTGTTTATATAAGCTTATTATGAAACCAATGTGTGCTGAGTGAAAGACAAGAGGAGGTTTTGTTAGGAGTCCAAGGAGGAGACATGTCACACTGTAATACAAACATTTTTAGTGAAACTATGACCTAACTTATATTTCCAGGTAATCAGTGAATGGCTGAAAAAAGGGATAGTAATATATTCCCAGCAATAGTAATAAGTGTGCCCATTTTCTACAATGAAAATAGGATTATGTTAATAAAAGAAAGTGCTGGCATTTATTAAAACAACTAAAAACGAATCATCCATGGAATTCTAACTAAAATTAATCATTTTGGGTGTTTGTAGATTGTCGGGGGGGTCATGTAATTTTTTTGGAGGGGAAGTTATTTTGAACATGTTCTGGTTTCTCATGTGAAGTGTTGAGTCAGATTAGATTACTGGCAGCAGGGATGGAAACACTTTTGACTGAGAAAGAAGCAGATTTAAAAATGTTTACGACAAGATTTCATTGTGAACCACACAAGGTGGACACGCACGCATGCATGCGTACGCCGTGCGTGCGTGTGTGTGTGTGTGTGTGTGTGTGTGTGTGTGTGTGTGTGTGTGTGTGTGTGTGTGTGTGTGTGTGTGTGTGTGTGTGTGTGTGTGTGTGTGTGTGTGTGCATGATTACATACTGCCCCTACAACTGTAAACACATCCAATAACACACTACAGTCTAATCTCGGATGTGCGTGGAACCTGCTCCCAACAGATTCCCTCTTGAGGCAGAAGTTGTAAAGATAATGAGTGATGCTCAAACACACCCATAAAAACAGCATTTCTGCAATCTAAAGATGTGTTTCTAGGTGCCAGTCAATCTAGAAATTGTTGAAAATGCAAAACGTCAAAACGTCTGCAAGAAAATCTGAAAATATCACTGAACTAAATAGGATTAACATGCATGTCATCAAAGGTTTAAATCCCACCGTGTCTTTAAATTACAGAAATATTTCACTCAAGGTTCCTTTCTTGACATATAAAAAGCAAAAATGATTGAGTAAAAATGTAATGAAGTCTGACATATTTTTTGTATTTGCCTAATTGTGCAGTAATAAGCAAAGAGGTCAGATTCTAGCTCAGCTCCATCTAGTCCCAAACTCCTTGTAACCATCTGTGTCCTCCAGCTGCAGCTCCTGCAGGAGATAACAACAACAGACTCTATTTGTCAGAGGCTTTGACTAACTAGAACCAGTATAAATACATGTATAAATATGAAGTGGTGCATTTCTGCAGCAGTTCTTCTACATGTTTGTGTCCATGCAGGACCTCAAACTTTTGTCTTTTCAACTTTATAACTTTGTCAAGTCTCTTCAGCTGCATCTCTTCACTCTCATTCTCATTCTCTCTTCTGCTGTTTTCCCTAGAGCTTCTACAGTGGTTCACAAGGATCCCAGGGAGCAGAGTAAAACCCACTGGAATTCACTATATTTAAACAGACACTAACACGGATGCACACACACACGCAGTTGCCCTCAAGCTCTCAATCACACGTCTGCTCCTCTGAGTACCCAAAAAGTCATCTGTCATAACTTGTGTGATGTCTGCCTGCATCTGCCTGTGTGAGGACAGGAGAAGATTAAAGACAGGTGTAATCATCAGTATTTGCTAAAGAAGACGTACAGATACCGGTAATGTGAGGTGCAGCGCAGGTTGTAGCTGAAAATAATGGCAGCTTTGGATAATGATGAACGGAGTTGTCTGTTATTACTGTTCAGATGTCAGAAAACTATTTTCATGTCAGTGAAAATGGGAAATGTTGGGTCTTACAGTAATGCACTTAAACTAATTTTGGAGCCCAAAAGTAGCCTGCCTGCCCTCTTGTGGCATGTTAAGGTACTACATATGAATGGATGGATAGATAGATAGATAGATAGATAGATAGATAGATAGATAGATAGATAGATAGATAGATAGATAGATAGATAGATAGATAGATAGATAGATAGATAGATAGATAGATAGATAGATAGATAGATAGATGGATGGATGGATGGATGGATGGATGGATGGATGGATGGATGGATGGATGGATGGATGGATGGATGGATGGATGGATGGATGGATGGATGGATGGATGGATGGATGGATGGATGGATGGATGGATGGATGGATGGATGGATGGATGGATGGATGGATAGATAGATAGATAGATAGATAGATAGATAGATAGATAGATAGATAGATAGATAGATAGATAGATAGATAGATAGATAGATAGATAGATAGATAGATAGATAGATTTACTTCAAGAAGGCCCAGACACCAGTGGCGATGCCTTGTTCGTGGATACGGTTGTGACTGAGGTCCAGAACCCTCAAACGGACACAGCCCCTCAGTGGCTCCTCCGTCACCTCATTAATCTGATTCTTGTTCATTTTGAGCATCTATGAAAATACAAACATGACATGAACATTCAAACAACACTGATGTTTTACAATGTTTCGATATTTGTTTTGATGGATCTACTAACACACTGTACTTTTGCTTTCTGGGGCTTTTTTTAAAATAAAGGACAGCAAAAACACACCTGAAGAGAACGTGGAAGACCTTGTGGAAGGGAACAGAAGTGGTTGCTGTCCAGCTGCAGGTCAAGAAGCTTTCGAAGAGGTCTGAAAGCTAAAGGCGATACGCTGCCTTCGCGGAGGGTATTGTTCTCCAGATCCAACTTTAGCAGGTTTAATAGGCCTAAAAAATCACATCACAACACCAACACAGCAAAGAAAACCAGGAACTCCTTTAATAATTAGCTCCATTACTTGGGTAGGACAAGATTTTAAAGGAGGTTGTTTGGGGTTTCCACCACTAACGTTAGCTGATACAGTGGGTTGGACTGTCTGTAGGGCTAATCTTTGTTGGGACAAAGACTGAACTGATGAAAAATCATACCTAAAAGGTGATGTAACACCTTTGTCTGTTCTTACAGGAGAACAGTACCTTTAAAGGAATGGTGAGTGAGTGCACTGAGCCTGTTGCTGCCAATCTTCAGCTCCTCCAGAGACGATGGCAGAGCTGGAACCCTGGTAATGTGGTTGTCATCTAGGTTCAGTTTCTTCAAAAGCATCAGTTTCTGCATGAGGGAACAGAAATAAAATAAACCTAACAAACCAAGTGGTGCAAAGAAGCTGGAGAAAAGGCCGTGATTTTCTCTCCCAAGCTGAGATCACTGAATTACAACAGATGAAAATATTTTCCGTGGCATTTGTCAAGTTTTATTTTTGGTGAAACCGCTCTGGGAGGCTTGTCAGTGGGAGCTGCTCGGGTGGTTTATGTGTGAGGAAAAGCAGAATCCTTGCAGTCTGGCTCTTGCCAGTTAACCAGCCCTCTATCATTATGGTAAAGTAAGGAGAAAATGGAAAAAGGTTTTCTTCCAAAAATAATTTCTCTTTTGTTCTCAAAGCCGTTGGCAGCAGATGTCTCCAGGCTGGTTGCTGACTGGTAATCATGGCACGATATCAAGGTGCTGATTGGTCAGAGACTGGTTGAGATCTGAGCACTCACTCAGAGGTTTTCCTCGTAGAAAACATCTGCTGACTCCACCATAAATTGGCTCTGTGTTTGTTTAATGTCTCCAGTTTCTAATAATTGTTCATTCTTCTTTTTAAAGAGCAAACTCATCCTAACTCTAAGAATAATCATAAGACCTGAGCGCAGTCAGCTGTGGTTGTAACTGAAATTCACAAAACTCCAACTGCTAACAGATCACTCCAGAGCTCGGACATCACATGAAAGATCTGATGAAAATTACGAGCTGTGAAACTTACGACCAGAGGGCTTTGGCTGAAAGACTCATCATCCAGTTTGTTGTGGCTCAGGTCCAGAGTGTGCAGGACTGGAAGGCCCGAGAAGGTCTGTGGGGTGATGATTCTGATGTTGTTGTCTTTGAAGACAAATCACAGAAGGAGTGTGTAAAACAGGAACGTGAACGCAGGGGTGGAGAGTTTAAAGGGAAAGTAACGGTGCACACCTGCCAGGTCCAGCTTTGTGACCTCCAGGTTCTGGAAGACAGGCAGGTGAGTCACGCCCACGCCTCTGCAGTGGATCTCTCTGTCGGCGGTCCGACAGTCAGAAAGAGGATCTGTAATGCTAGAATGTGTTTCTGTTTGATTGCTGGGAAGTGGAGTTGCTTCCTCTTCTTCCCCCTCCTGTTCTTCTTCCTCCTCTTCTTCCTCCTCCTCCTATGCATTAAAACACACAATTTCATCACATAATCGTAACAATACTAAAAACTTATGGAATTAAATTTTCACAAAAAAATGAAACCTCTTCTTCATCACTATCATCATCATCATCATCATCATCTTCATCTGAGTCTTCTTCTTCCTCTTCCTCTTCATCGCCCTCTTCTTCTTCTACTTGTTCTTCTTGTGTTTTCTCGTGATCCGTGGCATTTTGCTCTTCTGTCTGAGGTTCCTGCAGTTCAGCCAAAAGGCGGCTGTTCTCCAGCTCTCCTGTGTCATGATTTCTCCAGCCCACTAGAGGGCGCCCTAACTCTGCCTACAATAAGTAGCAGAAAACAGGATTCATTCAGGAAGGTGATGAATTTAATTTAAAAAGCAAGTCACCCCCAAATCAACTTTTTTTGCTGATAAACTATATAAACGAGTGTCTAATTGTGCTACAGACACGTGTAGTCAATAATTTGGCACTTCAGTGCATCTTAGTTAAAATTTAAATATTCTGCCTGAAACTGTCAGTGTTGTGCCGTTGTCAGGTAAAAACTATGCACTGTATTTGAATTTAAATCTACCACCGCTATAGGCTAAGAGGTATGCTATGATGTTAACTGGTACATTATGATGTCACAATGCTTTTGTGAGCCTGTGTGTGTGAGTTTGTTAGCGGCTCCGCCCTCTCGATCTGCTAGGCAACAGCATTTGTTCCATTTTTCAAACATGAAGTGGGAGTGAAGTGTTTCTAGTAGGGGGTGACTTGCTCTTTAAATTTTAATATGTGTATGCACACATTAAATTTTTGTGATTTGTCTGTTCTTACTAGAGCCTCTTCTGCTGCATGCTCCCTCTGGCCCCAGACACTCCTCCTCCACCTCCTACCACTCTCCTGCTCTTGGAAACCAGCTCCTCTCTGCTCCATCTCTTTTTGCCTCTCCATTTGCCATTGCACTTCTCTTCTTTCTTCTTAATGTGAAACAAATAAAACAGATTTGTGATCTATTTGTTCTGCAGTATAAACCAAATAATTATGAAATTATTCATTAAAAACTATTACTGAATTAAAACAATTAGCACCAAAAAGCACAAAATCTTTCTGAGCTTACCAGTTCCACCTGCTCCATTAGAAGAAATCGTGTCCAGGCTCTGCCATGATAAAACTGAGCCACTCAGATTAACAATGAGTATCCAGATGTTGGACATTTGCATTTTTGAATGTTTGCTCACTGGAAAGTATTTCAGTTCAGGAGAGAAGTAAAAAAAAAACTTTCTTCACAAGTTCAGATTTGAGGATGAAAGGAAGAAAATCCACATAACACAGAACCCTTTGGGTAGCTGTTGGTTTAAGATCGCCTGGAAATCCTCTGGATTCAGAATGAAGCTGGAGCGATGGCTGAATAAGGAGCGGGTTTGTGGATGGAGGGAATATCTGGGAGGTGGACAGGTCGAAAAAATAAACTCTCACTCTACTATAAAGGACATCCGATCATCCTGCCATGAGGAAAACAGACACACCCAGCTCCTCCTTGTCTCCTCACCATGTCATGACTGTCTGCAGCAACAAGTGGAAAGACCTGTTGTTTATTCTTCTTTTCAAAGACACACTTAGCAAAGGTGGAAAAGAGAATAAACAGAAGCATGTTCTACACATCAGCAATATAAATCCCCTCTTGTTGTTTTAATCAGAGCATCTTCTTATACCTCATCCAATGAGAAGCCGGACTGGTGGACAGTTCAGGTCAGGTCCCATCTTGTTTGACCCTTAGCACCTACATCTGAAAGCAAACATGAACCTGACAAGGCCATATCTGTGCACGCATGCTGTTCGTGAGCTGCAGAGTGTGTGTTTCCTCGCACTCACACTGTGGCTCCAGGCTGAAAGTGGAGCCAAGATGGGATTTTCACTGTGGAGTGAAACATGTTGACAACACCTCTTTTTTCATACCAAACACATGCATTTGTATTAAAATGGCCCCAAAGCATTTTTTTGTTTGTTTTGTTTTGTTTTTTTTAGTTCCACCATCACAAAAACAAAAGGATCACATTCATTTATGAGGAGATCTGTGGCCATGTTCTTTATTTTTCCACATATGAAGTACAGCTGTTGGGACCGAGATGACAAGCGTGTTCCAAATGGCACGCTGGACAACGTAGCACTCAACACTGAAAACCCCTGTGGTTCTGACGTGCTCCTCCAAGACAAACAGCGATGAGTCCAAAGGTGATTCATTTAAATCCTAACAGTAACGTGTGGTAATCCACAGATTACATCCAACACCTTAACCTCAGGCTGATGGCAGCACGGAGCATCAGGAGTGATGCTGACGCCGGTGCTGTCTGTGGACCAGAACCTTTATTGATCTGTGTTGACAGAAGGAGTGGGATGCACTTCACACGTCGATCTTTACACAAGCACAACAATGATCTCACATCAACTATTTCCACGTAGATCTTGTTTCAGATTAATTTCATTTACTAGCTTATTAGTTACTTTGAATTAACTAAAAAGGACAGTTTAGTCTTGCTCCTCTGACCTGAGGCTGTTCAATCTTCTGCCTGAAGGAAAGACCCATTTTTAAACATCTTCTAGAGAAGGGAGGCTTTGAGCAGAACCACATCTCTCACCATCATCACACAATGATGTGATGGTAAATTTCCTTTTAAAATGTAATACTCTGTATAAAATTACTCATGAGCCTAATAAAACATACTGCTGCAAATTCTTACGAAATTCTCTGCTTTTTATGATCAGGCAATTTAAAATGTTTTATATTTACTGCATGAGATGTATTGTGTTTTAATATTTTCTCAGAATTTTGGTTTTCTGAAGGAGTTCCACTGGGAGGGAATGTTTTATGCTTTGTTTTGCAGGGAGGAGCTGGAGAGGGAAGTCTGGGTTTTTGCTCCTGCGCCTAACTACTGCAAGTCAATTTTGGAAAAGAAAAAAAAGATGGAAGAACCGATGAGCCTAATACTAAATTTGATATTAGCTACATAAACTCAGTGGTGCAAAGGATGAATTTATATAACGGTGTTTTCCATTGTTGACAATTTAACACCTAATCAGGTTTACAAATAGCATCATAAACCCGACTGAACCAAGTTGAACATTTAAAGGGTTTTGGAGCAAGACAAAGCTATAAATCAACATTTAAATACTCGGTTTCTGTGATGCTATGCGGAAATGAGAGCAAAGAATCTATTTGACCATTAAATGTAAATTAAGTTTTACTCAAGACAAAGTACAGGGATCAACGGATCCCCCATATCTAGTAAAATGCAAATAAATGTGTCAAATCTTTACTGTAAAACATTTTATATCAGAAACCATGAATCCCAGAATCCCACATGTAAAGAAAACACAAAGAAAGGCAGTCAGATATTTTTATTTGCACACTGAGGCGATAGACGGTTGCCTTAAACAGCAGGAAGACTGACGCTTGAATCAAGAACCAGGGAGGAATGTTTTTCCACATAAATGAAAAGATCTGGCATTAAAGGCAGTTCTATACATCTACAGAAGAGATCTAGAACATTTCAAAACCAGTAACGGCACCGAAGGAGGAATACTCGCTGGGGGACAGTGATGTTTGCTGAAAGTCTGAAAAAACAGCAGAAGTTATGACCAGATAGGAAATCAAAATGTTAACATTTTACAGTGTTCAGTGACTTTTTGGTCTGTGAATCTAAAAACAACAGGAATGTGGGGAAATGTGAGCCAGAACGTACATAGAGATATTCACTGCACTCTTACACAGCAACCCAGGGTTAGTGAACATCCCATTCAAAGCCACAGGATGGCAGCAGCGAGGCTAGGTTTTAGAAAGTGTGGCAGGTAGATGGAAACAGGTTATGAAGAAAGCATGAAGATGAAAAGCAGTTCTTAATTAGCAAAGGTCTGGCGGACTGCGTTAACGATGTGCTTAGCACTGATGCCAAAAACATCCAGGAGCTCCTGGGGCTTCCCACTGCGGGGAACGCCGGACACCGCCAGCCGGGTCACAACTATTCCGGGCTCACATCCCACTGCAGACAGCACTGCTTCACCAAGACCACCTGGACAAAAAGACTCCAGCCTTAAACTCAGTTTCAGCATCTTTTAGAAAAGCTACTGGCAGCTGACGGGACGAAGCGTTTCTTTTAATGTCTGAAAAAAACAAAAATCTGCTTTTGTTAAGCCTAAAATCTGTCTGCATCTACGACTACCAACATAACTATAAAGCCTTGTGGCAAAGAAGGGGACGGTTAAAAACATGCTACAAGAGAAGAACCTTACCCTCCTTGTAGTGGTCCTCCACGGTGATGACGTGTCCTCCTGTTTTTCTGGCATGGCTCAAGATGGTGGCAGCATCCAGAGGCTTGATGGTGAATGGGTCGATTACACAGATGTTCTTTCCTGTGAGAAATCATGAGGGAATTCCTTTCAGGTTCATAATAAGCCACTCTACCCTGTTTAGTCAAATACAAGCCCCCACAGTGCGGGACAGAAATTGAGTCTACTACGGAAGTGAAATAAATTGCAGTTCCACCCTCATCCACTAGGGGCTGGTGTCAGAAGTGAGCAAATCCTCATAGACTCCCATGTTAAAAATGCCAATTTCACAGCAGAAATAAATATGTTTACAGCCTGGTACCAAAATATGTTTTTGGTTTAATAGATCTAGTTTACACTCATGACAACTCTGAGGGGGGTGAATTTTTTTCTCACTCTTCTGTTTAAATGTATTAAAAGCCTAAAATTCTGTATAATTAATGAGCATCAGACCCACGTGACCACAGAGCTAGCACCGGGGAAAGGCATCAGCCTGAGCCTCAGCCTCGCCTGAAAACTGTTCCATCATTTTAAGTCTCTCAACTTAGTTGTAGCGTTTGTGCGTTCTTTTTTGGATGTTTTTTGTGCAATTGTTGGACAAAATGACTTGCTGTGGCATTAATTGCACTAATAGAGCGTAAAAGGAGTCTCCACTTCATTTTTTTCGGTAAGTAAAATTATATTTATGTATTTTAGGTCACTGCCGAGCTGAGCTTAGATTTTAACATGTACTGTTTAACCATGAAATTTAAATGTAATAGGGTAAAACCCAGTGCATTTAACATAATGCTGCACTTTAGAAAATGGGTTGAAATATAACATGTTGGTGGAGCTGGGTTCCGACTATCAGCTTGTGGAGATCTCAGGAGACCGATGTTTTCCACCCGGTTTTACCCAGCGGTCAGCCCGGCGTATCTCTGACTCAGAAGCTCTGGTGTTGTGCACAGTTAACTCCGGTTGTAGCTAGGTTGCTACCTCCGTTAGCTTAGCTCCCACCTCTGCGTTAGCTTCAGGTTAGCTTGTAGCTAGTTTGACCGGGTGTCGTCAGTTGATCCCAGCCTTACAGCCCCACCCTCAGCTCTACCTCTTCCCTTTTGTGGAATTGTCTGGGCTTGACGGAACCTGTGACACGGTCAAAATGGCGGTGGTGGCCACCTCCCATTTAGCCTCAAAAACGTGTTATTGGAGCCTATGGAAATGAATTGTCCAGTATATATGCCGATTGACAAACAACACTATGTACACTCAAACAGAACAGCGTGGGTCTACCTTCACTTTGGAGAATCTTATGAGCAGCCAGAGCTTCATGCAGAGTAACACCAGCTCCAATCACAGTCGCCACATCACTATCAGACTCACACACCACCTGGAAAACAGCCCATTTAGTCATTTAGAGGAGAAACTAAAGAGGATTTAAATTTTACTCCTCATACATATAAAGAATATTTGAATTAGAGAAGTGATTACCTTGGCTATGCCCAGTTCAAACTTCTCATCAGGAGAGTAGATCACCGCTGTGTCGGGTCTGCTGGTACGAATGAAACAGATTCCCTAAAAGTAAAGTAGAGCATGAGTTTACGGAGGATGTTTACTGGGCAATCCCGAAGCAAGACTCCGACCTTTGTGTTGGCAGACAGCTCGACGGCCCTCTCAGTGGACACCGCATCACTCGGATAAAACACAGTACATGTGGGGATGGCGCGGAACATTGCCAAGTCCTCGAGGGCCATCTGGGATGGACCGTCCTCACCTGGAGGCAGGACAGGACCAGTGAAGGAGAAAAAAGGGCACATTTATAAATCATGTAAAGGATTCCAGCTTAAAGCTCACCAATCGAGACTCCACAGTGAGATCCCACGAGGTTGACGTTGGACTGGGAGATGGCTCCCATACGGATCTGGTCATAGGCTCTGGAGAAGAAAGCAGCAAAGGTGCTGGCAAATGCCACTGTCCGGTCTCGAGTGGCACAGCCAATGGCCACGCCCACCTGTGATTATCAAACACACTTTTAGACAGGGTCGGTCTAAATGACTGAGCTCAAATGGACACAGTCATTTACCATGTTCTGTTCAGCGATGAAACACTCAATGTAGCGGTCAGGGCAGGATTTCTTAAAAAGTTCAGAGAAGGTAGAGTTTTTGGTGTCTCCATCTAAAGCCACCACCCTCTTGCTTGCCTGCCCCAGTCGAGCCAGTGCAATGCCATACGCCCGCCTGGTTGACATCTGAAGAGGAGGAGAGGTGGTCAGAGGTTTAAAGTTATAAACTAATCTAGGAAGGCATTGCAAATAAGAAAACGATGAACAAAACACATTTACACAAATGTTTTTGGCAATAAAGGCTCCTTGCAGTACCTTATCTCCCTTCTTGTACTCTGGGGGTGAAGGCAGGGAGATGGGGCTCAGGTCAGCTGGTGCTAGATCCTCATTGGGCAGGTGAGGACACAAGGTCTTGTTGGGGACCTGGATCCGAGACTGCAGGTCCTTCAGGACGTCATCCAGCTTGTCCTTTGGGATAGGCTTTCCATGCCAGTTATCTTGATCTTCAATGTCTACAGTCAGAGAAATGAATATGTCTCATTATTCAAATTTTTAAAACACATTTGGAAAAGGTGTAAGCAATATAAAATATGAGTATAAACACCTACTTTTGAGTCCTCTCCCCTTAAACGTCTTGGCAACGATACAGGTGGGTTTATCTTTGACCTGCTGAGCCTGCCAGAAAGCTTTGCACAGCTCCTCCACATCATGTCCATCCACAACATACGTGTTCCACCTACAGATTTAATACCAGCCATTAATAAAAACTACCAACCCTAGACAAGAATACTCATTGGAACAAGTCTGTTAACAAACAAGCATATTAACTAGGAAGCAAGCAAAGGTCAAGGGTCAGGGATAATTCATGGAGACAGACAAGAAATTTCACAACCTCTACAAACAGCTTTTGAAATGCGACTGTGGCCACGTTTATTTAACCCATTCTGTCCCGACACATCGGTTTTTAACAGACCAGATATGACATTACAGGTTTGTGCAACTTTGGTTATGCATTTAAAAACATCAATGATTAATGAGGACCAACATAAACAAATGTTTTCTTATAGAATACAAGAAGTTGTTTGACATCACAGACCCAAAGGCTTCACAGCGCTTGCGGTAGACCTCCATGTCGTGCTGCAGAGGGGCAGCCTGACTCTGACCAAGGCGATTGACATCCATGATGGCCACAAGGTTGTCCAACTTGTAGTAGGAAGCAAACGCCATGGCTTCCCAAACCGATCCCTCGGAGCACTCTCCATCACCCATCATGCAGTACACACGGTAGCTGCAGTGGTGAAACGAGAGGGAGGTGTAAGGAATAAGTATTGTGGTTTAAAAGTGGCCAATATGACATTTAAATGAAAATGCAACTCTTTATGAATGGAATCTTAATTTGTGAAATTGTAACTAAAGATTTAGGTTTGAAAAACAAGAAGGTGGGTAAATGAGCGACAGCTGGAATAGCAAAGTCTTAAACTTTTGCATTGTTCTATTGCAGCAGCATCTGGTCTTTAAATGTGTGTTCGCTCATTTAATCAATACATTTGGTCTCTTGTAGGAATTATTGCCTTGTAAGTCATATTCTGGGGGAAACAAAGCTCTGGTGCACTAGTTTCAGTAACTAGAAATGAGCCTGATCAGAACTGAGCTTCAGGCAAAATGATTCGGAGTCTTATTTCCTGATATTTGGACATCTAGTCTCTGATTGGTTAACAGCAACACGACTCTACCACTGACTGCTCTGCAACATGGATGTTTTAACTCCACAAATAACGAGTCTGGAGGAGTTCTGCTGTGTGGTAGAATTGCTAATGCTAACAGTTAGCTTCTTCTAGCAGAGACGGAAATAATAAAGAATAAGAAATAATAAAAAAATGATTTTTCAGTGGACCACATCTTTTCTATTAATGCCAGTGTTGAGCAACACTATTGAGAAACAAAGGATCAATATAGCTGCATTGATATTTAACCACACTGAAGTGTATCTGAAAAAATTTAATTAAACATATTTCTGTCTCCTGCTGATTCATATTCAAAGAAGTTTCAGGTGATTTTACATTGCAGATTTAGATATTTAGAAGTTTAGATATTTAGAAGTTTTTAGTGAGTTTCCACTAGTTTGGATACATACTGACCTGGATTTGTCAAAGTATTTGCCGGTGTAGGCCATCCCACAAGCAGCACCAAGACCCTGTCCGAGGGATCCTGTGGCCACGTCAACAAACTCCAGTTTCTGTGTTCCCATAACATAGATTAGAAAGTTCCTATAACACAGATTAGAAAAGGTAGAAAGAAAAACACTCAATTTCAGACTTACTGGGGTGGGATGCCCCTCCAGGTCACAGTCAATCTTGCGAAGGTTTATAAGATCAGATTCTTTCACAAAGCCTGCTTCAGCCCAGACAGCATAGAGGACCGGTGCAGCATGACCCTGATGACGAAAATGGCTTTTCAGTAAGCTGACAAAAAACAGGAGGGGAAATTTTTCTTTCAACGAAAACCAACCTTGGAGAGCACAAAGCGGTCGTTACACTGGTTACGAGGATCATCTGCCTTATAGCGCATGGCGTTGAAGAAGAGAACGGACATGAGCTCTGCTGCACTGCAGCATGACGTGGGGTGGCTGAGACAAAGAGTAGGTCAGTTAATAAAAAGTGAGTGCAAACATAAACACATTAGTTAATAAATACAAAACATGCACATGCATACATGTGCATTCAGAACTCGTGTTTTTTAAGATCACATGGCAACCTGCAACCTGCCAAAAACACAAAAGTTTTACAACTTATGTATTTGAGTAAAAAAATAAAATAAAAACTCTTATTGGGATTTGAAACATCACCCACAGTCAACAGCTTGTTAATTTTTAACAACCACCTCAGGTTACCACACTTGGGTCTTCAGATTAGAAGGTAAGCAGGTTTGTGAAACGGTTAGTTGCTGCAAATGCTTTGAAGAATTGTAATCAACACTTTGGAAATCCAAAATGACCCAACAGAGCTCAGCTTCCCTTTGTGGTTAGGTGACAACTTGTACCTTTACAACCATGCTGCAAACAAGTGGTTACTATAAACATACACATCAGTTACTGTTGAGCTTGATTTAAGAAAACAAAAGACCCGATCATTGATTTACCACGTGTCCTCATGCTGAGAGATAACCTGATGGAAAACAAAAGGTGACAGAAGAGTTCAGATTATTTGATTGGTGCAAAGTTCCACCTCAGTGAGAAAGGAAGTGATGGAAATCAACTGTAGAAAGTCTCATTTAGTCCAGATCTCTTTGAGCCTCAGAAAATCAGATTTCCATCATTTCTTTGTTGGTAAAAAAAAAAAAAGTTAAACTGGTTTAACAGCTGGTCTTTTGTTTGGGTCAACCATAAGATGTCAACTTTCCAAAGATGCACTAAATATATTTAAACTGTAAATAATTAGTGTGGGGAAAATTATGTTGCTTTTGCCAGCATCCGATATGTATTCAAAGCCATGATGATGAAGCGGTTAATGTTCCTAAAAGAGAAGGTAACCAAATGGTTAAACACAACTTGACTCGCCCCTACTAGTTAAACCAACTTGGACATGATGATACTTGTGATGGAACCAAGAACTGCAACAAACAGGAGTGATCACAACAACTGCAAGCACCATTCATTGTGGAATGTGCATTTCTGTTTGGGCCAATCCTTAAAAACACTAGAACTAGAACACTAGAAGAGCAAAGGCCGCGCGCGCGCACACGCGCACACACAGTTGCTTTGGTGGAAAAGAGAAAAACATTTATATTTGTTTGACCTTAAGGCTGAATTGCGTGTTTGAGCTTTAAACTTGAAAATAACTTTTTCTTTGAAGTTTAACAAGTTTTCATTCATTGAGGCCAAAGAAAAACTAAAGGATAAGGCTCCCAAGACTACCACGACCACGTGACCTTTTTGATAAATAATAGTAATTTGGCTACTAATGGCTACTTTAGTTACCTCATGAACCACGCACACGTATAATACATATTACATGCATAAGTAAACACTCACGTGTTCTCGTTATACCCATGATTTGGCCCTCGCGCTAACCAGCTAACTCATCGTGTGAGCTTTAATCTGCAGCACGTGCAGGCCGGCCCTGCAGGGAGCTCGTGCGTACTCTGGCCGCTACATTTTCGTGTTTAATTTATATCCGAGTGGATTTGACTACTTCCTGCGACTGTGTGCAGCTCTGGGAGACCTACCCGGAGTTGGAGGCGCATGTTGCTTTGATGGAGTTGATCCGTAGCTTGTTGGCAATGTCTTTCAGACCCTGCAGGGTCTTCTCGTCGGGTTTGTGGTAGCCAGACATGGTCTCTGGGAGGATGACGGCGGAGTTGGCTTAAAAGACAGCAGAGGTTGATTGAACCGGAGTCGTAGGCCCTTAGCTAACCGACTACTGTCAAGTACGAGTGGGGAGGAGGAATGACAGGGTGAGGAGAGGAGGCTGGTCCGCTTCTTCCTGTCCAATCACAGCCTTGGAGGAAGAGAAGTGGCGCGTGTTGCGTTAAGGATGCAGCTGATTTCACAAGCTGTTTCAGTTCAGTCTGAGTTTTTTCTGCTTCTGCTTTATTGTAAAGCTCACAAAATCCCCAGACTACACCAGTAACAAGAAAATATAAATTATTCGTACTCTCAATGTCCCATAAAAGGTTTATATGTGTTGATTACACACACTGTTCCTTTAAATCTGTAGTTGGATGGCTGCCAACAGGGAAGTACTCAGATTTTGTGCTCTCATTCTTACGCAGTAAAAAAAACTTCCCACAATAAAAGTTTCTGTTTCAGTGATCCTTCAATCACCACTCACAAGACATGTTACATTCAATGAATCAATCGGGAAAAAATGATGAAACTGTTTTATTGTTAGCTGTAGAATGAAGACTAAAATATTTTAAACAAAAAAAAAATAGGTAAAATATTTCCTAGGAAGATCACAAAGTTCCTCCTTTACGGAGTGAAGTCCTGCTTCTTCAGAAACGTTCAGGCCAACACGTCCTTATTCACCCATCTTTCGAAATCTTACCGCTGAGGTGTTTCCTATTCTTGAAGTTCCTGAAACTAGATAAATATATTTGTTATAGAAAAGAAAAGGTAACACTTTACAATAAGTGTCCCTTTAGTAACATTACTTAGTGCAATATTAAGCATTATTAAACAAAGGGTCCCTTTATTAACATGACTTAGCGCATTATTAATAATTAATAAACAAAGGGTCCCTTTATTAACATTGCAGTCATTGGTAACTAAAGTGTCCTTAAGGTTAGGACAAAGGGCCAAAAGGGGAGGTTGTCTGCTCATTACTGCATTACAAAATATGGTTAAGTAGTTGTTAACATTTTATTTAATAGTTTATTAATGCTTAATGATGCACTAAGTAACATTAATAAAGGGAATATTATTGTAAAGTGTCACACACACACACACACACACACACACACACATACACACACACACACACACACACACAATCTTGTATTTCTATCCATATTAGGACTTTGTATTGACTTCCATTCATTTTAGTAACAGCATTTATGCTTAACCCAAACCCTTACCCTAACCAGTGTATTCCTAAACCTAGCTGTAACAAAAACTCAATTCACATTTTACTTCTAAACCTCACCCCTAAGCCTAAAACAGGGGCCCGCCGTATTAAGACCGGGTTTTGGTCCTAACAAGGCCCATCAGTCTTCAGAAGATTAGTGAATATACCGGTTTTGGTACTAATTAGAATAGTTGTACAAGTACGTACACACACACACGCACGCACGCACACACACACAATCAATACTGTTTGTTTTTTTTTTACCCTGAATTCCTCTTGTGCTTGACTTCTCTCCTCGGGGGTGACAGGGTCTTTGTCAAGTCGCTGCAGCTGTGGCATTAGCTTCAGCACTTCCAGGTGGTAGCCTGGCATTCCCGCCAGCAGATTTCCAGTAAGGACTACAGCTCGCAGGGTTTGTGACACATGGCAGAGGCTTTGCAGGGCCTCAGCATCAGACAGTGCATTGTCTCTGAAAGAAGAAAGATAGAGACTTAGCAGTCTGGGATGACCAATACATCTATGTAATACTTTTTTTAATGTTTCATAGGTTGGGTCACAATGCAACTGTACACCTGACATTGAGGTACTGAAGACTCTTCAAGCAGGGACTGAGACCATCCAAAGATTCAAGCTGGTTGTCTCGAAGATGAAGAATTGTGAGACGCTCCAGCTTTTCCAAACCCTCAAGGCGAGTGATAACATTTTGGGCCTTAGAGAGAAAAGTAAATAAGTGATGGCATGCACTCTTTACACTTTTTGTTTTTAAGTGTTTTCATTACCAAATATAATTTGCGCAAGTTTGGAAGGTTAATGCCTTTGGTAGTTTCCAACTTGTTTCCCAAGAGACACCAGGTTGGTAAAGTTGTCACTCTGAAAACTATTCAGTAGCTGAATGCTGTTTCCTGTGAGAGATGTTTCAAAATTTTGCATCAGTTGATTTGCAAATATATTAAGCTCCACAAATTTAAATAAATAATGTTGAGGACAATGAGATCAAATAGAAAAGTCAGTGATCAGATGTGTTTTCAATGAGCAACCTGTAAGATTGAGGCTTTCCAAGGCAGCAGGCCCAACCAGGCCATCTAGGTCTGTTACCCTGTTTGCTGCTATACTCAGCCACTGCAGGAAGGGAAACCCAGCAAAGGGTTGCCCCTTAAAAGATGCCGCCGCATTTTTGTCAACCTGCAAACAAATAGCATTTAAGATTTATAACCAGTAATGCTACTGCTGGCTTGCACACAAAAATGTTCTTTTCTAAATGAAAGGTCTACCTTGAGCCAAAGCAAATGATCCTGAGCTGCCAGAGGAGAAAGATCAGTAAGGTTGTTGTTGGTCAGGTCCAGAAAGCGTATGTGGATATACCTGCTGATTACCGATACGTCACTCAGTGAGCTGAGGAGTACGAAGACGAGAAAACACTTGTTTAGAAATCATCTCCGTGTGTGAACTTATGGTTTCTAGACATAGCTTTGACTTCTTACTTGTTGGGAAGGTCCAGTCTGACGAAAGTATATCCATTTCCTATCCGCCACAGTAACGAGAGCCTCTCATGGATGTCATCTTTCGTTAACTGTGAAAATTTTATCAGTGAAAAAACGAGAAATGTATTCATGTAGGCTAGTTTTCTATACGGTTATGAGAGACCAAGATTACTGGACTAATCTGAAGTTGCATTTTGTAGAATTTGACACTAGAAATAGTTTATAAATGGTCCTATTTTAATCAATGAAATATTACACTAGGGTAAAGAAAGCAAATGTTTCCTTTACTAAACTCTCCAGGTTTACTTTTACCTTGCAGTTAGCCAAAGCAGCTTACGCTGCATTTTAAATAATACACCTCATTTTACTCATTTTCTTACCTCTCTTACAGCGTTAGCTTCATCCTCTCCCTCCACATCCGACAGGTCTCCATTGACATCCATTTCGGACATCCTGGGCAGTTAGCTTTGACAAAAAGGAGCCAACAACCAACTTGATACACACCCAAATGTTTCAGCAATCACTAATAGCTTCTAACCAAAAACAAGTACACAATCACCAGTTACATTAGCTCAATGTTTTATTTGACAGCTAGCTTCTATGCTAAATGAGTGTTTGCTAAAGTTACCATAGAAACCAGGCAGGGATGCCATAAAACTCAAACTGTGAAACTCCCATGTGCTTTTTTTTGACGGTATGTGTTGCTGCGCAACGTTACATTTAAAAAGTGCAACATTTTCATACAAGACATCAAAACAGATGAAAATGTGTTTATTTTACATTAGCTCAATGAAACAGTCACATTGGTGGATGAGTACACAATGACAAAAAGTTAATTTTTCAAATAGAAGTATCTCATACAATGTTAATTTAAATCTACCACGATAGACGTCTCCTCTACACAATGTTAGTAAATGTGACCTCAGTCCAAAAGGCCACAATCTCTTTACCTTAAATTCTGTAAAAAAAAGTGCCAATTCTGTAATATACACAGTTCATGCCCAGATCAGTCATTCACTGAATGACATGGCAAAAAACATTAACCTAAAAAAAAAAAAATCTATGGTGCATAGACAGTCCTTTTATTAACTCCTATTTGCTGACAAAGACCTGTTGACAACTGATCTTTCATTTTGCAACAGCAAATGTTTTCCCAAACGTAAAATCTGTTTATTACACACAAATGCACGCTTCAAAGCAAGCGAGAAATGAAAAGCATCATTCAGAGAGCAAGCAAAAAGGTGCAATTTGTGCAATATTCCAACAATTACTGCTACACAGCGAGTTTATGGGATTACTACCAACAAGTATTACCATTGTTAAGGTAATTATGTCTACCCAAAATGAGATTTTTAAAAATTGTTTGTAAAATAGAGGTCAATAGTAGAGTTGGATGTAGGACACGGCCCTTTCTGGGATCAGAGGTCAGTCCACTTGTGCATTGCGCAACAAAAGCCCTTTTTTCATGCCTCCCTGCAGCATCCTCGCACCAAGACTAGTGCCTGAGATCCCATCACTGCAGACAAAAAGAAACAAGTTGAGCACAAACAATAAATAATACCTAAAAACAACAATCCTGACCATGCATAAAATATCTAACTGGAGTCTTTTCACATAGCTGCTGCTTACACAGGGCTAAACTTTCGCTTCAATGACTCTGAAGGTTCAGCTCCATCAGCCAATCTCTGCAGCAAAAGAAAGATAAATATGTTACTGAACAGAAGCATTAATCCAACTAAGCCTTTGATGCTCGACTAACCTCTCTGCCAAGAGCGTCTTGCTGAGATCTTCTTTGTTCCAGGTTTTGCTACACACACACACACACACACACACACACACACACACACACACACACACACACACACACAGGGAAAGAAACAAAAATTTTAGGCAAAATAATGTCATCTTCTAACCCCCCACACCTCCAATGATCACATCATGCTGTGCATAAAATGCATCAACCTTCTTGGTCTGTGCTGTAAATTGCAGCCTTAATGATGGGATTTAAAATCACCTTATGTAGCTCAGAAAGCTGCTGATGTCTGATCAGAGCCTCCTTGCTAGGAAACTGCCTCCTACACAGCAGACAAGCAAGTTTGACCCAGTCTGTCATTCTTCCCTCCTTCTCATCTCCGTCACCGCCTTCTTCTTCACTGTCGCTTTCTGCACTGTAGGCTGGAACCAGACCTGACTGAGGTGGAGGAGACTGTTGGAGAAGAGACGATTGAGGAGTGACAATGACATCGTTATAAACAAACAGCTTATCTGTACACTTACTTCTGCACTATGTCGAATCTGGTCCAGAAAACTCGGAGGCCTTTCAGAGAGCGCCCCCTGCAGGAAAGAATAATTAGTGAGAATGTATAAAAATGCACCATCTCCTGTTCAGATTTTTAATTTGCTAATTATGGTCGCACACCTTCTTCTCCAAAACGGCGTAGCCTGCATCAGCACTTGCAGATTCTTTGTAATCATCTAAACGACTGCTGCCGGGTGCTCGTGTGTTACCAGGAGAAAAGCCCACGGCAGGGGATGAAGCGACAGAACGCATGTTTTCCTTATGTCTGTTGAGACTCTTGGCCCAGCGCTCCATATCTTTGGCAATCTAAGAAGTGAACACCAGAAAATATTAAAACAAACACAGATTTATTCCAGCATGTCGCAACACCTGTGACTAGCACGTGAAGCACCTGTTGAGCCGTTTTACTCTTCGGCTTGTCTTTTTTTTCCTTATTTCCTGTGTTGGAAGACACAGAGTCTGAAGAAGCTGCATCCTTGATAGGAGCATCTTCAGCACTTGCTTGGCTGCCAGCAGGAATGTACGTGAGCTTCTCTCCATCCCAGTACATGTACTGCTGCGTGTGAGAGTTGTAGTAATACTGCCCAGGGAAGAAATGCATACAACCAGAATGAAAGGTGGAAAAGCAACAGCAAATTTTGGCCTGCATCTCATTCACACCAAACTGTTTACCTGGGAATTTGGATCATAATAAAGTCCTGTGAGGGGGTCGTAGTAAAAGCCCGAGCTTTCATCATACCGATACGTTGACACATCTGGAACAGCTGCAGAGACAGAGGCAAAATTCACCATTTTTAGAGACTTTAAATACCTTCAGCAGTTGTTTGGAATCAAACGTGTAAGTTATTTCTGTTTGCCGTTATTAGTGGAAATGCTTACGATATTGTTTTAGCTCGTGTTCTGTTCCTGGGGTAGCAGGTTGACTGGGAGCAGCTGGCTGAGGTTTTCCCACAATCTCAACCTGAGAGATTATCAAGAAACATAAAAACAAAGATCGGTGCATGGACAACACAAAGACGTAAGGCAGACAGCTCTGATGTACCTGTGTGGCTGTTGCAGTGGCAGCTGTGGTGATAAGAGCAGCCTGAGTGTGAATGAGAGGCTGTAGCAAAGCTGCTGAACCACATTTTACTGTCTCTAAGGAAACAGCTGCAGATACAGAATAAACACAATCAGAAACAAACGTGCACAGCAGTAAAGATAATAAAAGCTTACTGGTTTATAAACTAACCTGGTGTCCCTCCTGTGAACGCCCCATTCAGGGACGTTACTGTGTTTGGCAAAGCAGCAACCCTGGAGTCTGTCTGCGCCCTGGGCCCGTCTGGTCCAGAGTACTTCAGCCCCTCCTGACTGCAAGTTACCGCTGCCCCCTGCTGGTACACAGTTGCATCAACACCTCCATTTGGAGTGTTCTGAGAAGTGAAAAAAATGCCCAATACTTAAAAATAAAAAATGCAAACAAAAAGGTAAACAGTGCATGTATAATGTCCAACTTAGCTGCAACAATAAGTTGAGGGACATTACTTGTGTGACGGCCCACTGAGCTGCAGCTATGGCTGTGCTGGCCACCGTAGCAGCACTCACTCTGCTCCCATCCATCACAAACACGTCTCTAATATCAACAAAAGATTTCTGTCTTTATGGATCATTTGGCTGTGTAGTTTTACCAAACAGCACCAAACATTTTCATCAATCAACATTTGAAGTAATCTTGAAAGGGATTTGGGACTCCCTTAAATCTTCTTAATGAACATTCTAAGCACAACTGGTGAAACTTCAACCCACAATATTATAATGAATATAATAATCCCCCTTCGAGGGTAAATGTGTGTATTTACCGTTTGGAGCCTTTGGCGAACTCCACCACAACAGCTTTCCCATCTACTGACAGTGGTGGGTGCAGAGCCTGTAGGATCTGGAGCAGCTGAGACGCCTCCTATTCATCAAACAACACAGATCTTTGAGTTAGATTTTCAGCATCACCTGTACTTTATAAAAATAAACTTGCACTTCTAGTTAGCATCTCATTAGCAGCCATTCTGATCCTCACCACTATGGTGGAGAGCTGCAGAAAGGCGAAGCCTCTGTTGAGCTGTGTATGCTTGTCCTTGATGAGCCGAACATTTGAAGAGGACAGCGTTGCAAACGGAGCCAGTGCCGACAAGATGGCTTCCACTGAGGTATGAGGACCAAGGTTTCTAAGAATCAGAGCTGAGGACAAAGCAGGTTACAGCTCAATACAGATTTGCACTTCTCAGGTTTAATAGAGCAGGCAGTCATCGTGAGGACAACCCCATAGGCTTACTGTCATTAGCAGCGTCTCCCTGCTGTCCCACCTGCCCTGGGGGGACACTTGGACCAGATGAGTGGTAGGACGTCGGTAAGGGTAATAAACCTGGTGCTCCCTCCTTCTGAAGACCAGTTGGTAAATCCCTCTGAACTTGTGGTAACTTCAGTTCAGCCTCTGCAGAAAGAAACCTGCAAATGACACATCACCGCATCAAACAGCTCAGGTATTTATTAGTAGCTTTATTTACCTGACTTGGGCACGCTGCACTTGAAGCACTTCTCTCTCCGTTTAAAGTTTTGCACCCCACACTAATACAATCATACATGAGATAATGTTAAGTGAATGCTGTAGAAGAACAGCAGGCTGGGTTTTAGAAGCAACGCAAACATAAAACCTTGTTGCAGAGCCAGTCCTCGTTGGCACGCGGCTTGGGGTCGCTGTAGTGCATGGACACCCTCTGTCCCAGAATCAAGAGCGTTCCCTGAAGGAAAAAGAAAGAGAGGCGGGGGAAACAAAGAATGAATATCTGTGGTAATAAGGTTGCACATGCCACAGAGAGGCCTCATCTCACAAGAGATGAGAGAGAGAAGGAAAAGGGGAAGAAGGAGACAAAGAAACAGGACAGCTGGAGCGGAAAGAAAGAGGACACCAGAGAATTGCAACCTTCAGCTTTAGGAAAATTCGGACGGACTGAGATGGTGTACATGTGAGTTTGTGGACGTCAATTTTTAAAGGACAATATGTTTTTTTGAACCGAGTTAACCCTCCCCCCTGAAGGGGAACCCTTCCAGTTTTCAACACATCATACAGTTGTCACCACCTTCACTCCTCAGAGACAATAGCTTGGACCTAACAGGTGGTGGAAAAAAGGGCTCAAAATTAAAAAAAAGGAAAAAAAAAACAGATCTCTGTGTGAAGTTGCATTTACACTGGAATACTACATCAGAGGTGGTACTAAGGAGTAAAAAGGCAAATCCAGGCCGGGAGGGAGGGAGGGGGGGGCGGGTCCTCTGTTAAAGGAGGACAGAAGATGAACAAGAGGATCCATTTATGAAAACTTAAAAGGTTGACCTTGACCAAACTAGCTTAAAGGGTCATTTTGGTCATTTGAATAGTTTGTGAGTAGTTACAGCCTCCATTTGGAGAAACTAAGTTTACATCCTTTAGGCATGAGGAGCTAACGGCTAGTCTGAGCACAGCTAATATCAAAGTGTTTTACTCCTGTCCTACAACAGCTCCTGTCTACAAACCTCCAAAGTTCATGCAAACGATGTTTTAACAAAACACTTTGCATTATTTGCAATATTTGATTATTTCTGCAGAAATATCAAAAACATGTCACATGCTGCTGGTAAATCACCACAGATGGTCGGAGGTGAAACAGGTTTAGAAATCATGTTGCATGAACTGCTGGGCATTTTGGAGATTGGAGCCATTTTAAGATGGAAAACATTCCCATTAGCCTTGCCTGAGCTTAGCATGTAACCTTTACCTCTGCTTTTGAGGTTGGTCATAAAGATATCTAAAAGAAGCAATAAAGTTATTACAAATTTTAAAACCGAAACACGCCTCAATATGACTGACGTTTAATAAAACATCAGTTTTCTCATCTGTGAAATCAAAAGGTCAACCTACCTCAGGCTTAATTATAAGTTTGTATGTTTCACACATGGTGGTGTGACTGTACCATAAAGACTAGTGTCCCCCTGAATGAGTCTGTGTGTGTATTTGTGTCTGTGTTGGAGAGAGTGACCTGGTTGGTCTCCATCCAGCGCGTGGCCTCCTGTATGAGATTAAACTCGACGAAGGCGAATCCTCGGCTCTGACCTGGACACCGCCCAGCGCCACAGCAACCCAACAACAACAACATAACAACAACGCAGTGTTTGGGTTAGTGCTTCATGTACAGAGGAGAGAGAGAGAGAGAGAGAGAGAGAGAGAGAGAGAGAGAGAGAGAGAGAGAGAGAGAGAGAGAGAGAGAGAGCGAGAGAGAGACCCTTGCTAATAAAATTTATTCCTAAATGGTCCATCCCCTAGATTGTCTGTAAGGGGCAGGAGGACGCTACGTCAAATTACTCATCTGGGTCAAAGAATGAGGAAGAGAAAGAAGCATACCCACTCATCATTTTGGGTGTGAGCTCTTTGGAATTAACGATGAAGCACCCAGGCACCCACAAACACACACACACACACACACCTGATACTTAATATAAACTAGAGAATACCAGAGGTGAAATACCCCATCCTAAACAATCCATTCAGTATTATACATGCTGTACGAGGCATTTGATTAAAGAGGTCCTTCACTAAAAAAAATCTATTTTTAGTTTTTTCTGATTATAATCAGTCACTCAGAGTTTTTCATGCAGGCTGAACAAGAATTAGCTTATGAGAAAAAAAAATTGACGGTAACACTCTAGGACTTGAAAAACCTGACAGAATGACATCACACCGTAACTTAACGTTCATGGACTCACTCATCATGACTTGCGATATGCGGCTGTTGATGGTTTGGCATCCAAAAAACAGCAGAGAATGTCTATACTAGTAGAAGCTAACTGTTAGCAATAGAAACTCCACCACACAGCAGAACTCCAGGCTGGAGGTAGAACATCAGTGGTTGAGTCGCGTTGCTATTAGCCAGAGACGAGATGTTTAATATCAGTAAATAAGACTCCAAATCCTGCCGTCTGACGTTATTTTCTCCTCCAGCTAAATCCTTTGTGCTGGTACAGGCACCCCCCCCAAAGTACGACTTGCAAGACATTGATTCCTATTAAAACACCACCGCAATTGTGTTAAAAATGAGTGAAGGATCTCTTTGAGTTCTACAAACAGAAAGATTAGTGTAGGGGCTAAGGTTGGGCGATATGTAACATTTTTTGTGATATTTTCTCTGTAACGTTTAGGTGTTTAGTAAGCCTGACACACGCACAACCAATCACAATGGTTCTTAATTTGTACAAGCAGAACATGACTTGTTTTAGAGAGATTAGGGTTTTTCCATATTTCTTTGGCTATTTGCTGCAACAATTAACAATATGCTGCACCACAATTGAGAATATGGAGTGGTACTTCTGGCATGTTGGCCAATAGTTGAATATTTTGCCCCAGAGGAGAGGGTGTGTGTAATCCTTCACCTGCTGGAGCAGGTAAGATGTTGATTAAAGCTAACGAGGATGCTAACAGGAGTTATAGTGAGAAAGATGCATCTGAAGGAAACAGTGAAGGTTTTTATTAACATATTATCTTAGACTGTGGACACAAGAATTAATGTGGACTAACCACTTTGGGAGTACTTTCATCTGAGCCTTGTGTATGTCAAAAGCCAGTTTTTGTTTGAGATGGCTCTGTAAAAAAAAGAACCATAGCTTTCAAATGGTGCATAATATCTACATGTAGACAGAATGAGTGAAGAATGAAAAAAATAAATAAATAAATAAACCACGCTGATTTGACCTGGATTAATTCATAGATACCATAAATCCTCTAATACAGGCCAGTATTCAATTAACGTCCGGTCAACGCGCTGTGCCAGAGCGTCGGTACTGACACGCGATCGTTCATGTCGGTTCATTTCCTTTAATGTTTTCTGTCTTTTATTTGCGCCTGATGTGTTTCGCTGCTGTGGAGCGGGGCGCATCACCTTGTCCTCCGGTGACGCACCGATCACTGATGCGGCCACCAAGCAGGGAGCACTCCGCTGTTTTTGCGGTCGGTAGATCTGCGTCCTGAGCACGGCCACAGTAACATTATCAAATCAGGTGTCGCCACCTCAAAAACTAATTTAACAAGCGATCGATCGTTCATGTCGGTTCATTTCCTTTAATGTTTTCTGTCTTTTATTTGCGCCTGATGCGTTTCGCTGTGGAGCGGGGCACATCACCTTGTCATCCGGTGACGCACCAATCACTGATGCGGCCAGCAAGCAGCGAGCACTCCGCTGTTTTTGCGGTCGGTAGATCTTTTAGAACTGCAGTTCAAAGGTAACTCATAAGGTGATATATATGAACCCAGGTAGCAGTTTTTCTTTAGGATTGAGAGGAGATGCAGGAAGATAATAAACTGGCAGGACAGAAAAATAGTCAAATAAAAACAAGTTAGTTTTTGTACCTGGTGGTTGCAACAAACAGACACCATTGAAGGTAATCAGAAGTGAGGAACAGAAAATGAAATAATTATTTTAATGTTTAGAGCAGCAGGAACTCCGAGAGGCTGCAGGCGCATCAGTGAGTTTGCGGCCGCTGCGCAGGGGAGGGGGGAGAGGGCTGAAGCAGAAACTACCGTTGTTAAAAGAAATGTGTTTAACTTTGAAAATGTGGGCGCAATTTTAATTGTCAAAAACTCCAGCGAACCATTAGTTCATTTTGCTCAAATAGAAATAGAGGCCTGCCTCTATTTCTGGCCCTCCTTCCAATAAGGGCCTGGAGCTCAATGAGCTTGAGTCAAATACAGGCCCGGACCTATATTAGAGGATTTACGGTATTAAAAAGTAAATCGCTCGTTAACAACGATCAGACATGGGGTCAGCCCATCGTCGATGTATTCGTCCAATCGCCCAACCATAGAAGGGAGGAAAATAAAGTAGTGTTGGGAAGCAGACATGTGCCAGAGTCAGATAAACAACCCTTACAGACAAGCAGGAAGTTAGCAAAGTGACAATAATGACCTTAATGGGAGAACAAGTAAAAGAAAATATTCTCAGTCAAACAGATCTCATTAGCGTTAGCTGCAGTTTTAATATTCTTCCACCCTCTCACACTCTGAATTAACTTCAAAGGCACAAACACACTTTGCTTGTGATGCCGATAGATTTTATTCAGTTTAGGATGGATGATGCAGAATCATAAAAGGGGTTGAGATGGTATGTGAGCCACAAAGAAGTTAAAATCACACCAATGAAGTGAGCTGCATCCTTGCAACAAAGCAAAAACAAACAAGACTGATTTTTAACACTACATGGATCTCTGCTGAGTAAAGAAACCAGAAAAACAAAGTAATAAAGCAGGAATCTAAGCATACTCTGTATATTACCACATAAATATTTGTGGTACCACTAGCTGCCTAGCCGTCTGTCAAATACAGTGGGGCAAAAAAGTATTTAGTCAGCCACCGATTGTGCAAGTTCTCCCACTTAAAATGATGACAGACGTCAGTAATTTACATCATAGGTACACTTCAACTGTGAGAGACAGAATGTGAAAAAAAAATCCATGAATTCACATGGCAGGATTTTTAAAGAATTTATTTGTAAATCAGGGTGGAAAATAAGTATTTGGTCACTTCAAACAAGGAAAATCTCTGGCTCTCACAGACCTGTAGCGTCTTCTTTAAGAAGCTTTTCTGTCCTCCACTCGTTACCTGTATTAATGGTACCTGCTTGAACTCATTATCTGTATAAAAGACACCTGTCCACAGCCTCAAACAGTCAGACTCCAAACTCCACTATCAGGGGTGGACCTTTAAAGCGCCCGAGCGCCAATGGCGCTAAATTTTCTCGTCGGGTGGTAAATACTTGACGACTCACCGCCCGGGTGGCGCCCAAGCCTTATTTGTCTTTTACACACCGGCTTTCACCTACATCATGGCCGCGCCCTGTAGGAAGCCGCCGCTTTCATTTCGTCTCTAGCCACGTACTGCACGTACTGCACTTGTACGATTCGTGCACGTACTGCACGATTCTAGTTATAGTCACGTGAACTTAGGGCTGGGCGATATGGCAAAAATAGAATATCACGATTTTTCCAATATTTTATCGCAATTTCGATTTTATCACGATTTTTTATACATGAATAGCATAACTTCAATTGCGTATTAAAGAGAAACATTGAATAAATAAACATTTATTCATATTAGGGATAACCAACACAGTGCTAACACACTTATATTTTAAACTCACACCAGAGATGATAAAAGCCCTGAGAGAAACAATTACAAAAATCAGTTTTTCTCGTTTTTCAAGTAACTTAACATAAATTAAAATCGTAAACATATTTAAAGTGCAAACATGTCAATTGCAAACGTATTGTGCAAACATTAACTTGTTCAAAATACTATGTAACTGCCAGTTGCTCATGTAGTGGATAGTTAAGCTCAAATACGGCTCTGATGTGCGGCTGGACCAGAGATCGCTTGTGGTAGCAAAAAACTGAATATTTTCTGCAACTCTCACTTTGCATTCAGCGTACATGCGTGGAATGGCGGTGTTTGAAATATACTTGCGGCTGGAAAACTCGTAGCGCGGATCCAATGTTTTTATCATTTTCTTAAATCCCGCTCCTACTGTTCGCACGGGACACAAATCTTTAACCAAGTGGTACGTCACTGCATCTGTCACGCTGTTCCATCGTCTGCTGTCTCTGTCGTAAGGAGTGAGTTTTGTGAGTGTTTCTGTTAGCGTTTGCTGCCTGGAAGAAGCACTAGCCGCTGCAGCCGCAGGCTTTTTAGCTTTAGCTGCCAGCTGGCTCTCATTGTATTGTTTGGGATGATTTCTTTTCAAGTGATTAAACAAGTTTGTGGTGTTGCCATCACTTGCCTTGACGCTCTCCTTGCAAACTTTGCAAATGACGTTTCGCTGCTCTTTGTCATCTGGTGAAAAACCAAACCAGTTCCATATAATGGACGAGGCGTTCCTCTTCGGAATGAAAACCTTGTTGTCGCTCGCAGCCGAAACCATGTTTGTTCACACACAGGTGAAAACAAGCAGGGCACTAATATATTACTATGACTCACTCTGATTGGTTAAGGGTCAAACAAAGGTGTGTCATTCGCCTGGGGTAAGTTCCCTTTTCATTCAGAGGCAGAATTTCAACAGCAGAGCTGTGAATCGTGATAAAAAGGTCTCTCAAAAATGAC